AGGCAAGAGCTCTCGGTATTGGCTGCCACTTTTTTGCTCTGTGGCGCGAGTTCTGGGACACCCTGTATATCCGAATCGGATAATCCGATATATATAAAGTGATATATATCTGCAAACAATTAATAGATCACCTTTGAAAAAATGCTGTGATTTAATTGTAAAAATGCTGTTAAATATTTAATTGTAACAGTTTTATAAATATCATTGATATAGGTATTACCTATTGCTTATAAATATCGATATATATCGTGATATAAATCGGTGATATATATCGGTCGAACCCTGGTATAGTGTAATTTTAATTATGTAAATTAAATTTTGCCAAATCTCGAAACGTATGCTATTATAAACTATACAAGGTGTCCCTAAACTTAGTGGCATAAACTTAGGAGCAGATTAAGCAAGTCAAAATAAGACGAAAATCTAAATTAATATTTTTCCTAATTACATATGTTTAAAAGATACAGGGTGATAAAGTGTTACTTATCATATCAGTTTTTTTAATATAACTTCTACTATAGTAGACTTGGAAAGGTGATATTTTGCGAACAATCACTTACTACCAAAACACATAATTACAATTGTTCGAGTGAACACAGTGTCGTAGAAACAGGGGTTGCTTAAGCTTATTGTCCCATACAAACTTTGAGGTTAGGTTTTTATACCATTTGATGGAATTTTTCGATTACTTAGTTCGGCTACTATTAAAAAGGTGTACCTCTCAAACTTCGATAAAATAAACCGTTTCCGAGATATTCGAGATTACAATAATTGTTAATCGCATTAAAGGACTGAAAGGTATATGATAACAAATTTTTTAATTGAAAAAACAAAATTTTTTTAATGTGACGGTCAGGGCAAAAAGTCCCGAGGCTCATGGAATGCCCTTTTTAGTTTTTTTAATTAAAAAATAAAATTTGTTATCATATATCTTTTAATCCTTATAAATAATGCGATATAACAACTATTGTAATCCCGAATATCTCGGAAACGGTTTATTTTATCGAAGTTTTAGAGGTACACCTTTTTAATGGTAGCCGAACTGTGTAATCGAAAAATTGCATCAAATGTTATAAAAACCTAACCTCAAAGTTTGTATAAGCTTAAAGCAACCCCCGTTTCTACGACACTGTGTTCACTCAAATAATTGTAATTATGTGTGAATATGTGTTTTGGTAGTAAGTGATTGTTCGCAAAATATCACCTTTCCAAGTCTACCATAGTAGAAGTTATATTAAAAAAACTGATATGATAAGTAACACTTTATCACCCTGTATCTTTTAAACATACGTAATTAGGAAAAATATTTATTTAGATTTTCGTCTTATTTTGACTTGCTTAATTTGCTCCTAAATTTATGCCACTAAGTTTAGGGACACCTTGTATACTATATAAAAAATATTGTTACTTAAAATAAGATTACAATAAAAATTAAAATATTTTTGCAACTATTAAAAAATAACGAAAAAAAATTAAAAATTAATAATTAATTGAATTAAAATTTAAAATCAACACCTTTGCAATACCTATGTAGTTATTTCTGTTAACATTTTCTAATAGTTCTAATAATTTTTGATGATGGTATTGACCCTTTATTAGTTTGTGCCACATATCCACAATAATCTGGTTTCAATTACTTTTATATTAAGTATGGGAAAATTTAAGTTACGGGACAACTAAATCAAATCCTATAGGATCCCATAAAATAGTTTATTTTGTTGGTAGGTAATCATTATTGTTATTTTTTATTATTTTTTTTTAGAAAAAAATATATTTATTTTTCAGGTTAATGTGTCTTTTGCCGTTAGTAATACCAAGGATACAGCGTAATACATACTTATATTTTTTATTGCAATTTATAGTACCTACCTACCTAATAAAAAAACATAAACACAGGAAATTATAAACACACGGAAATATTAGCGAGAATAATCAGAGCGGCCTGCGTTTATTGTTTACGTTCATTCCGGTTCGCCGTGTCGGAAAATTTTAGGTTTAAAATTAATAAGACTTACCTTCTGAATTTAACGGGGTAATGGTGGTAGTTGAGGTGGGAGCCAGCGCAATAAATAAGGGGCACAACAAGCCCCATCCAATGAACCCTTAGGCCCCAAAGAACCTTGTGCTTACTCCTAAAATAAAAGAAAAAGAGTTAACTTCACTTTACAAACAACGCTGATACGCCATCAGTGAAGAAGAAAACAAAATCAGCTGTCAATTGGACTGTACAATTTAAACAGCAAACTTCTTTGAATGGTAACCAATGAGACTCTTATTGTGGGAAGCTTAAAATCATAAAATATCACTATACACCGGACCAAATTTTTTCATTGGGAAAAAGTAAACAAAAACAAATTCGCCCTATAGACCATAAAAACTGTGCTCTCATTTGCGGCCTTACAAATTAAATAATTCGTGCAATTTTGCAAATTTGAAAAAATGGAAAAAAAACTCGTCTTGAAATTTTAAGAGAAATTAACATTTACCCTTTGGGGCGCCAATTTTTTTGCGAATTCGACAATATTGTAAAGGAACATTCGTGTTAGATTTTCGCAAGGAATCGACCCTTTTTGATTGGTCTGGTGATTTTGGGACACCCTTTGAGGCAATCTAAAGAATAGTTATTTATGTCATTAGGTTAAGAAGTCTTTTTGTGCTAAGCTCAAGGTTTGAAGGCCGACGAGTAGCTCAAGGTTTGAAGGCCTACAATTGAGCGAAGCACAAAAAGGCACTTCTTGGCCGAATGGCATACAACATTTTATCTTCAAAGCACTTTATATAGGTCAATTTAATTCAACATCAAAGCGGCCTAACCTCACTTTTTTAGAATCTTATAATAAGATTCTTATTTATTTATTGGCTAAAGATTACATTAAATGTACAATGTACATACATTGAATTCAATTAATTGATTAATAAATAGGTAGGTAGGTATCTAATTTCAATTTGTTTGGATTTTTAGAGGGATTTTTATTTAAAAAATAGGTAGTTTGGAATGTTTAAGCTGTGTTTAACATTTAATTTCACTGAAAACTTAAAGCAAATTAAAACTTAAAGATAATTTAAATCGTAGAAAAAGAATCGTGCGTTTTCTTGGTTGCCTAACCTCACTTTTTGTTTTATTATTCATATTTAATTTTACAATAATTTAATGAAAAATATTAAACATTAACAGTAAAACTAACAAATTAGTGCTTATTATAAATAAATTAAACCAGTTTAGTACGTTAATTTCTTAGAAAAGGATTAATTTGTCAAAACAATACCCCTAGCGAGAAAAAATCGATTACCTACCTACTTGCCTCATAAATTTTTTTATTTCCACCTTCATAGTAAATGACATTTTATAGGTTAATTTTGTTGTTTTTGTATCCATGTAAATGATACATTATGGAAACAGACCTGTAATATTTTACGGGCTTGTATAAAGGACCTGTAAAGTTTTACAGGCTTGTAGAAAAGCAATTTATGTAATGAAACGTCACATTTGACCTATTAATTAATATTTTAAATTTGAAAATCGTTATCTAAAGGTGAAAATAAAAGTTTGTACGTGTCACGCTTTGCAATTAATCTTTACTAGACTCACTGGATTATGGTGTTCGCTCCTGCGTCGCTCACCCCACAAACTTCCAGCTCGCCCGTATAGATTCATTTACAAAGCTTGACACGTAAATAACTCATGATACAAAGAAAAGTTTTCTTTGTATCATGTAAATAACTATTATAAGCCTAGGCCATAACAAGGTATTTCTTTATCGAATGTTGACAACAATAAAGTTTAAATTATAGACCGCGTAGAGATAAACTTTTTTTCGTACCAATACCTAGCCTAGGCTAGGCTACAATACAATATTTGTTATTATTAATTATTAGGATCACAGTATGTGATTAGTAATAAGAAATAAAACTGCACAGAACATAACTAAAACTGTGTAGGAAAAAAATAATCATTTATCATGTGGTTAACTTATTAGAATTTGTTGTCTTTGATCTGATTTGAAAATTTCCGGAATAACGAATTCTCAATCACAGCTCAATACAACGTAAACGAAAAGATTCTAGAAGGTGTTTACCACCAAAGAACACTTTACCACGCTTAAAGCTTATAAATCTCTTTGTTCACAATAATTGCCATAAACGTTTACAATTAATTTGCTAAATTAATTAAATCAGCAATTACATGAGTCAATGCTCCAAGGAAGTGTTTAAAATATAAACATTCATGTTTTGTATATTTTAATGGGCAAAACAAAAAACATTTCCATTGTATTCAGCGTAACAATTTTTTGTTCGAATTTTGTTAATACATAATTAATTTATAACGGAATTTATTCAGCTTTGAGCTCTTTCAGTGCAGGTCAATTAGATTAACAAGAATAACCAAAATATACTAAAACTGGGTACTTACTACTCCAAAGTAGATTGTCCTGCTCCTAATCTTCACTTTTGCATTATTTATCTCGAAAAAACTGTAAAATTCATAACATAAACAACCAAGTTTATAGAAAAATTACCACTCGTAAACACAAAAAAAACGTAGTACACGGCTTAAAAACGAATCACACTATCACAATTTTGTATCACCTTAAACCATTCGACATTGGAGCTAATGCGTTTGCGATTTTAATAAAATTTTGTTTAATTTTAGAACAATAAATTGTCAAAATTATGAACGTGATATATTGACTGAAATTCCACACTAGCGCCGTTAGCGAATAGTTTCGGAATTAACTCTTTCACGCCGACCTGCAGAGAGCGCCATGTACCCAATCATGTTGCCAAACCGAATTTGCAAAAACTTTATTTCAACGATTTTACTAAATTTATTGAAAAAAATTTAATCTACTAAACTGCTAATTTAAAATTATTACAACTTAAAAAATGTAATTAGCTAAAAAAGTAAATAATGTATTAATATAATATACATAAAAACATCCTTAAAGGTTTGGCAACAGTGTTACAGAAACCAAACATAACCCTACTTTATCTAATCTATGACATAACCTTAAACAATAATATTGACTTTCTACATATTTTTCGTGTTTTAACATATTTTAGAGGCAAAATTAATATTAGAAGCTATGGACAACATTATGGTAAAGGATGAGGCTAATGAGAGAGCTCTGGAACAACTAAAATATGATTTAAACAGTACAAATTCAGACGAAGACGACGAATATAACGATATTCCAATGATTGACGAAATAAAACCAGACATTTCCGATCACGATTTGAGTTTCTCGTCTCAGGAAAGTAAAAACGACGAAAGTATGGATTTGGGACATGACCTAATACTGCCACAAGCTTCCAACAGTTTAGCATCTACTAGTTTGCCTCCTCCAAAGGTGAAGAAGGAGGTTAAGACTAAAAGGGAAATTGAGGAGGAAGAACGGGAGAAAATGCAGTAAGAAAATTTTTCTCATATTTGGGTTTATTTTGTAATTTAAAATATCGGTCACAATTTCCCATTCTTGGATCCTTTGTGTTGCATATATTGTCGGAAAAGTACCAGGTAATCTGCAGAATTGCCTAAATAAGCTTTAATGGGCATTCTGCAGAATGCCTAGCCCTAACTCACAAGAAGTAGTTTTCACTAACTAGAGTTGAACCTGTATAGCCATTGTAAACAAAAAAGAAAGGCAAGAGGTTTTTTGCCTGATTATCAAAACTAATTCAACAGAAAAACTACAATAATATTGCCAGAATAAGAGAAAATGACATAATTATAAACCTATCTAAATTTATTTAGATTGATTTTGATCCTTTTGGATTTAAGAGCGAAACAGGCTGCCTATTGGTGCCTGTGAGGAGCACACTTTAAATTATTCAAAAGTGAGATAAAGTAATCACAATTCTAATAATTATCAATACCAAAACAAACAAGAATATTAACTATTGGCTGAAAAATTTATAAGGCATTTTAGTTATGCTGGGTTGGATTTTTTTAACAATAATTGTTACCTATTGGAATATTATTTTGTACTTTAATGGTATACAATGTTTACCTACATATGTATTACTGGAAAAGTATAAAATCAATCCTATGTGTACTGGACATACAAACAGAATTATATTAATATAATAACACCTATTCCCGCCAACGGTTGGCCAACCTGCCACACAATGCACCATCTTAGGAGACATCCATTAATTACATGAGGCATTTTTCTAATAATTTGGTCCCCTCCCCCTTAGTGCGATTTGGCGAGATGTGGTAGACCCCCCTATCCCTCACATGAGATTTTAGCCATTAAACTTTCTTTGTGGACAACATATAAAAAAATGATTAATTTTTTACAAATGAGATTTTAAATATTTTGGGAAAAAAAATATTTTTAATTCCTTCCAACGCCCCAGAGCTATCCCAAATATAAAAATTATAAAATTCAGACGAGGGTTTTATTATGTCATTACTAACTTTTTCAAAATTGGTCAAATTGATTTTCAAAAAAAAACCAAGCTAAATGGGGATCAATTTTAAAAATACAAATATTTTCATGGTGTACATTTTGCTTGTTTTTTTTTTAAATTAAAGTGCTCAACTTTGTAAAAGTTACTTATGCTCAAAATAACCAAATTGACTTAAAAAAAAATTATATTTATATTACTACCGTTTTTTTCTCGAGCTCAAACATAATTTTTATGTTTGCCATGGCTCTGTGGCAGTGGAAGGAATATACACTGCGCGTCAAAATTAACGCATAAGTAAAAAAATTCTCAAACGCCTTTACTAATCTTATGAAATTTTGTATAAAAATAGTTTAACTTATATCTCAGTTTACGTGTTCGTTTAAAGCCCTTTTATTTAATAATAAAAAAAACGTTCGAAAAATAACTTTAAGGGATTTTTTTTAAGTAAATAAAAAATATGCTGTTAACGACCGTATTTTTGTTAGTATACCCTGAAAATTTTGTACAAATCAAACAAACAGTAACGTTGATACAGCGCTTCAAAGTCGGTAAAATGACCCCTTTTTGATTATTTTGCTGAAAAGAGGTCATTTTTGACGACTTTGAAGCGCTGTATTTTCGTTACTGTTCTTTTGATTTGTACAACATTTTCAGAGTATACTAACAAAAATACGGTCTTTCACATCATATTTTTTATTTACTTCAAAAAAAAATCCCTATAAAAGTTTTTTTTCGAGCGTTTTTATTATTAAAAAAAAAGGCTTTAAGAATATTTTCTCTAAAAACCCTTGAACTCGTAAACTGAGATATAAGTTAAAGTATTTTTATCCAAAATTTTATAAAGATTGGTAAAGGCGTTTTAGAGTTGGATTTTTTTACTTGTTATGCGTTAATTTTAACCCGCAGTGTATATATTTTTGTCACCAAAATGTTTATTTTGAACATTAGTAAGTTTTCCAAAATAAAACACTTTGATTTTCAAAAAAAAAGAAACCAAATCGGCGGATCCCAGCTTTATCTGAAATATGAAAATATTTATATTTTTAAAATTGACCGGGAGCCATTTAGCTTGTTTTTTTTGAAAATCAAATTACTTTATTTTGTAAAAGTTAATTAGGCTAAAAATAACATTTTGGCTCAAAAAAGTTTATAAACTGTTTTCCTATTATAATTTTTATATTTAAGATGGCTTTGGGGCGGCGGAAGGAAATTAAAAAAAAATACAAAAAATATTTATTTTAACCATACACAAGTATTCTATACAGGCGTTTTCAATTTTAAAAATATTCATATTCGCACCAGCGGTGTTGTCATTTTAAACGATTTATCACCAAATGGGCAATTTGAGAACTGCCAATTGGACTAAATCTTTAAATTAGGGATTGGCGACAAAATGGTCGTGGTCGAATATTTTTTTATTGAAAGACCTTATTTATTTTGTTTTTAACTTTGCAGCTTTTAACTGTTTCCAGTGACGTAATTTTCCTTTTTATATTCATATTTTTCAAAAAATTTCCTATATTTATCAATCAGGTTTTATAAAATAATTTTAACGATTAATCGTTTTTCGTGAAGAGACTTTTTGAACGAAAAACATTTAGTAGAACCTAAAGTTGCGCAAGCCATGCTTTCTTCTGCATTGCACAAAAGAGCAAATGAAAATAAATTGCAAAAAGACGCAGATAAAATGACTAGCACATTTTGCAAGAAGAAAACTTTAGTGGTCTCTGATACCATTAAGAAGCAAAAAAAATAATGTTTTAATGTGATAAATAATATTTTATTTAGTGATAAGTTTTTTTATAGAATGCTTTTGTTTTGTTTTTATTGTGTATTTTTTGATACAATATTGATTCACGTACGGTAACCCAAACTAAATTCTTGTTACCCAGTATTTTTTGCTTTTTATTGTCAATAAACGATGTCATGTGCAGGCCCGTTCCTGGGGTGTCTGGCGCCTGCGTGCAGCATTCGTTGGTGCGCCCTTTTATTGGCTTTTACATTAAATATTTGAATTTTAGGCCGTAAAATTTAAAAAATAAATATTTTGCGACAAACTGGCAAAATGATATTGAAAATGTAAAAAAACGCTTAAATTAAGTATAAAAAATATTTATTAAATTACCAAACAAACAAGTAATATCATAAGGGCATCTATTTTTTCCGAAATAAATCGCTAAGTAATATTTTAACAAGAAGCATGAGTGCAACAAAAATCCAAATCGAACAGGAGGATTTATGCACCTGCACGAATGCATTTTGTTAAAAAATATTACTTAGCATTGTGTTTTAACGATTTTTTTCACAGGAAAAGTTAGACGCCTGAATGGTATTTGACAAGACTATTTCATGAGTAGTTAACAATTAAAATATAAATTGCAATTTTTGGACAACAGCTGTCAAGTTTTGCCGCTGGTAAACTCGAAAAAACTGCTGACAGGTGCTGTCATACATTTTTTCCACCTAGAAACCATTATTTTGTAGTTCAAAATTGAGCTTTGTGATTGGTGGAAATTAAGACGAGGGAAATAGTCAGTGATAAAAATACTCTAAAGAAAACAAAAAAAATCAATCTAAACAATATAATAACTACAACTGGTTTTTAGTGACATACTCTCTAAAAATGACTAGTTTTCAAAGTAAAAAAGCAGTCAATAATAAATTTAGTCCACAGCAATTTGTATCCCGGGCATTTAACAGCTTATTATTATGTAAAATTGTCCCCTGAATCCGAAAATTCCGTCAAAAATTATAAAAGTAAAGCAGTTTTTAAGATATAGTCAATACCATATTATATGGAAAATTTACTAAATCTCAAAAACGTTCAACTTTTATAACTTTTGACGAAATTTTCGGATTCAGCGGACAATTTTACATAGGATTGACTGCTAAATATCCGGGATACAAATTGCTATTGAAAATAATTATTAGTCGCTGCTTTTTAGCTATTGCAATTAGACTAATTGAATTAGTCATTTTTGACTAATTCTATTTTAGAGAGTTACTACTGTTAAACTTTGCTACCGTCAACTGCAATCATCAAACAAATACTAAAGATAATATGACCATTTCTCTCCTTTTATTTTGATCCTCATATCAAAACAAAATATGCAGCCAATATCAAAGCTGCGAAAGGCGTTTTATAGCGACCGAAAAGAAGAGCGGCTGACGCAAAAAAAGGCAGAAAATTATCCAATGTATGTTTAAGTATCATATGCAAGAAAGTTTATCGTAATAAGTACTGATTGACTCTTTGATTTTGCGCCCCCGAAATGTTGCGCCTGCGTGCGTGCACGCACTGCACGCTCGCCAGGAACGGGCCTGGTCATGTGACTTGGTCACAGAGTGTCACAAATTTGTTAACCTCCTCCCCCCATCATCATTTATGTACGATGCCCTATAAGATTAACAATAATTTGATCTGTGTTTTGTTATGTTACGTTAAAAATATTTTTATTAATATTACAGTTTTTCCTAGGAACATAGCTATGTTTTATAAGGTTACTATTAGTTACTTTGTTACTATTTGAAAGTCGAAGTTTAGCGGGCGCCCTGTAAATATCAAATTGACGTGCGCTGTTGTACTATACTATACCTTATTAATAATAATTTATTAGTATAGAAATTTGAAATAATTTTTGAAAGCAAGTTGTGAGGCTATGAATTGATAATAAAAACAATTTTAAAATGAACTTTTTGCCTCATATAACTTTATTTTATAATAAAAAAACGATTTAAAAAATGTAACTTTAAAACTATATAGTGCCTAAACTAATCCATTTTGTACTAAATTAAGTTTATTTATAAGCTTATTTTTGTTTAAGGAATATGTATTTTTTTAGAGTTTTAGTATCAAATTTTACTGAAGACCAACTGGATAGATATGAGATGTACCGTAGATCTGCGTTTCCTAAGGCAGCAATAAAAAGACTGATGCAGACTATTACAGGGTGTTCTGTCTCTCAAAATGTTGTAATTGCTATGGCTGGTATTGCTAAAGTGTTTGTAGGAGAAGTTGTTGAAGAGGGTAATAAAGAAAATGAAAATTTAAAGAAAATATTTTAAAGTACATTTGTTGTTAGGTTTGGATGTGATGGAAGAAAATGGTGAAACAGGACCATTGCAACCAAAACATTTAAGAGAAGCTATTAGAAGATTGAGAAATGTTGGCATTATACCAAGTGGTAGAGACTATAGATCCCATTTTAGAATTTAACTGGATCAAGTTTTAATAGACGTTAAGGATTTTATTTATACTTATTTTATATTCTACAATTAAACTATTTTATCTTCTAGCGTTCTATAATTTAAACTTTATTATTTTCAACACTGTCAAAGTGATTGATTATTCCCAAGGCTGTAATAATAATTAAGACCAATCAGGTAAAGTTTTTTACCTCCTATAGTCTGTAAAAAACCCGTTTGTAAAATCCAAAAATTCGACTATTATCAGACCTCTTTAATCTCACTTTCTACTTTTATTAATTATTATAATAATTATTGTACGCTTTTAGGATAAAATATTGTATGCCATTCAGCTGGAAAGTAAATTGGAAAATGCGGGGTTAAAACTGCTTGAAAGTTGTCAGATAAAATATGAAATACAATTGGCTTTAAATTCATTGCGGTAGTTGAATGCGCTACGCTCGTGTAATCTCTTTCTCACACTAGTCGCATAATGGTATATAATTTTATTCCTTAACTTTAACCGGTGGGCAAAATATCATTTCTTTCACGGGCTGAAGTTATAATCTATAGATTTAAAGCTAACTTCAGCCCGTGTTAAGTTAAAATTGAAAAAAAGAGAGGTTAAAGTTGCTTGACAGCTGTCAGATTTCAGATAAAATATCAAATAAAATTGGCTTTAAATTCCTTGCATTACTTGACTAAAATATTGTGTGCGACTATTGGTCTAAAGAGCAGATTTCACTCTATGCTTGAGGAATCTTCGCTTTCTCCACTAGTCGCACAATATAGTATTATTACATAATGTGTTTAATTTATATTAAATTAAATAGTATATGGGGAATTCCACGTGAATTCAACACGAAAAAAACCCTTGCCATTTCGAAATTCCATGGCAATTTTTTTTTGTTTTTAATCTTTAAGCGAATAAGTTTTTTTAATTAAAAATTAATAATTTTTTCGGAATTTTTAATTTTGATTTTTTCCACTTTTGGGCATTTTGTAATATCAAAAATGATTTTTTTTATTTAATCTTTTGATATTTTAACTATTATATCGTTTAAAAAAATATTATTAATAATTATTTTAAGATTGAAAATCAATGAATTCATAGGCACTACTCTTTATTTTTTTAAAACAATTTTAAAGGGCTAAATAAAAAAAATCATTTTTGATATTACAAAATGTCCGAAAGTGGAAAAAATCGAAATTATTAAAATTTAAAATTCCGAAAAAAATATTAATTTTTCGATAGCCACTATCTAATAATATAGATAAAAAAACTTGTATTCTCATAAAGATTAAATTTTTTTTTAAATACAAACAGTGTAGAAAATGGAACCAAAGTTATGATCGATGACATATTGGCAAAATCGTTATAATCATAAAAATTTTAAAAATCATATCCAAATACATTTGACAAACCGTGCTAAAAATAAAATTGAATTTTTATTTTGAATCAGGGAACCCATGGAAAAATTTCCATGGAATTTCGAAATGGCAAGGGTTTTTTTCGTGTCGAATTCACGTGGAATTCCCCATATATATATTACATATGTTTATTTGTGTAATTATAATATGCAGTGCTGGAGAGCGTATACCTATAGGTATCAACAATTGGTAAAATTTATTTTATAAGTAAATAAGACAACATAAAGCGCAGTTTTTATTTTTAAAATTTTTATTGTTCATAACTACGCCCTGCAGCACTACCCCACGAGTTGCGCCTTATATAATAATTTAATTATTATATACAAATAAATACAATGTAAACAACATTTTAATTGTAAGTATATTCTAATATCAAACAATGATAAAAATATTAGGCAACATAATAATTATTTTAATGATAAGTAAGTTTTAAACAAAACAAACTTTATTTAATAAGCTATATTTTTCACTAATTTTTATCCAATTCCCATTGTAAAAGTCTTAAAAAATACGATTTTTTATTATGATTACCAAAGCTATTAACAATTAAAAACAGAAAATATTGTAATTGTAATACCTACCAAATTTTTCATGTCATTAAAAAAAGAAAAGAACAAAAAATTATTGTGATTGTACCCATAGAAATAATACTATTATTTCTATGATTGTACATAAATAAAAATAAATTGGGTGTTGAAATAACAATATTTTCTGTCCTTATTATTTAGGCAAAGTCTGAAAAATTGAACACTATTTTTATGTTTAAATTTAAACAAAAAAAGATACAAAGTATACTTTGGTCATAAGACTTTTTATAGACTTTGTCCAGGTTTGGCTCTTAGTAAAAGCCTCATCCATATGGAAGATAGCTAAAGTTTAATACAGGGTGTTTCTTTTAACTTGAGACAGCTCAATATCTCGAGAAACACGCATTTCACGGAAAAATGTCTTAAATAAAAGGTTAATGTTACCAAAGGGGACATTATTTGGTGCTACCGCTAGCCACCCCCTACCCCTCCTTAAGGGTGAAACGGGGGGTAACTTTGGAAAGTCAAATGGAATGACCCGATTTTTTTCACAGAGTTTGGTAGTACATAAAAAAATAAATAACTTTTATTTAAAAGTTTTTTTCAATTTATCAACAGATGGTGCTGTAATTCAAAATTTAAGAAAAAGGGGTTTCCTTGTAAAATGTATTATTTGAAACGTTTGAAAAACAAAAATTAACATTAAATCAACAATAGTCGGCTCTGAAAACAATTTATAACAAATGTTCGAAATGTCGTCCTTCCATTTCGACACCGACAAGTGGAGCACCAGCGTCCCTGGTCGGTAAACGTTTGGTGCGGTACCTTAAGCGAACGATTAATCGGACCCTTCTTTATTGACGGTGCATTAAATGGCGAAAAGTACCGGAATTTTCTAGAAAACGATCTGACGGACCTTTTGGAGGATATACCACTAGCACGGCTCCAAAACATGTGGTACCAGCAAGATGGTTGTCCTGCACATTATTCGACAATTGCTCGAGAGGTGTTGGATCGGGAGTTCAATGGCCGGTGCACCGCGGTGGATCGGTAGACGTGGTCCAGTAATTTGGCCTGCTCGATCACCTGATCTTACGCCACCAGACTTCTTCCAGTGGGGTTACTTGAAAGAAAAAGTTTACAACTACAACTTGGGAGGACATGGTGAAGCGGATCAGGAACGTCTGTGCGGCGATACCGCCCGACATGTTGGCGCGTTGTGTGCCAGAATTCATTACCCGCATTCAAAAATGTGTTGAAATGGAATGACGACATTTCGAACATTTGTTATAAATTGTTTTCATAGCCGACTATTGTTGTTAATGTTAATTTTTGTTTTTCAAATAATACATTTTACAAGGAAACTCATTTTTCTTAAATTTTGAATTACAGCGCCATCTGTTGATAAATTGAAAAAAGTTTTAAATAAAAGTTATTTATTTTTTTATGTACTACCAAACTCTGTAAAAAAATCGGGTCATTCCATTTGACTTTCCAAAGTTACCCCCGTTTCACCCTTAAGTAGGGGTAGGGGGTGGCTAGCGGTAGCACCAAATAATTTCCCCTTTAGTCACATTAACCTTTTATTTAAGACATTTTTCCGTGAAATGCGTATTTCTCGAGATATTGAGCTGTCTCAAGTTAAAAGAAACACCCTGTATATAGGCATACTAAACAATTTGTGTTTGACTTTCAAGTTGCAACGGATTATTTTTTTTTAATTCAAAGAACCTAGGATATTTGTTTTTGCGGTGTTAACAAATTTTTAAAAATCCCATCAATTTAGAATTTTTAAAATCTTCAGTATTATACTACCTTTAGTAAATCATCTTGCAATATTTAACATTGTTGCCAAATTTAAAAAAAATTCCAGAACCTGGGAATTTTTTTAAATACCTTTAATAAGTCATCTTAAGATGCAATTGCACTGGTCTTTTTTTGTACTTTTATTTTTTTGATTTGTTGTTTATTGTTTGTCAGAAGACGATGTACATAAAAACATTTTTTGTTTTTGTAGGTACATTTACTTACATCCCGCGGAGGCGGTACCTTTTTTCTTAAAAACATGCGAGCGAAGCCGCGGGACTACATGTTGCAACTAATACCTAGTCTTTGTAACTGAATATTTTTATTTATTAAATAAACCTCAGAATTGTCTCTATATAAACACCCCGTATATAAATTCGTGGGGGACTTTTAACCATACGGAGCGCAAATGGGGCTGACGCTACAGAAAATCTCCGCATAGGTCCTCTTAAATAAGAAACTTATCAATATAAAATTAGAGTGGGATGCTTAGAAGCAACCAGGGGCCAACGACTCTCTTATCAAAACATTTGCTTACTTATCCAATGCAAGCAGCCAGTTGGTAAAGAAAAGAACACTGGTGCGGGTGCAGGTCAATTTGATGTTTTCGCGGTTTTCCGAAATTTGAAATCATGGTTTTTAAATTTGTAGTGCTAGTTATTGTAGGTAAGTTTTAAGGTAAACGAAATGATTTCATTGAAATCAATATAGCTATTTATGATGAAAGTATACTTGCATTTGCTATGGTTTAAAAGTACTTTATTATTATCATTGTGTAAGCAGTCATATATTTTGTATTAGTTTTAGCCGTATGTGAAGCCTGTGATCAAACGCAAGCCAAAATAGGTTGCATAATCTCAAACATGACCTGCAGATGTGGTTTGGGGTGCGAGTCAGAGTACCAGTTTGAAAGTTTTCAAGAATGCCAGAATACTATAAAAGGTTTAAAAAACTTGTACTAAATATTACTTATTTTATTGTTTGGAATTTGTTTAGGTAAAAAGAAAGACATCTGTATTACAAACAATCCTTGTATGCATGGTGGAACCTGTACCCAGATAAGTCAAAAACCGGGTTACAAATGTAGATGTGAAGGTACCGGATTTTTTGGATTGAGATGTTCAAGGGGTAAGCAAAACATTATCTTTGAAAGTACATAGACACAGACGCAGCATTGTCATCGTTTTTTCAAGGCTAATTAATCCGTCATTTTATAGGTAATAATCATTTCCCTTTTGATAACTTTTGAACTTACAGTAATCTGGTAAAACTAACAATTTCTAAACAGTTTAATTGTTTGTAAATAATGATAACAACTTTTCTGTAACCTCTTCTATGCATTTTGTCTTTTGGAAACACTAAAGTATTTAATTATTTTCGATTGATAAAAATGTTGTTCTATAGCACGCCGTTTCACTTTTAAATCGTAATTGTTTTAAAGTTGAAATAGCGAATTATTATTGTCTAGGAATAATGATTATTATTTAAAATTATGTTTAGGTCAAATAATAATTTTTTATGTTTCATAATTTGAATTTGATACGCATTTTACCTGAAGAATAGTTTTAAACATACCAAGTTCAAAGACCAAAATAGGACAAAAACGAATATTGACTGAATGTGCCAGACTCTATTATAATATTCCAGAAGAGATCAAGAATACAAAGAACTACCTACGTTTTAAAAAACAATTTAAAAAATTCTTTATTGTAAACAAAAGACAAAACAATCTAGCCTAATGTACATTTTTTCTTGTTCATTAGGTTTTTGTAGTCCATTTTTAACAAGGTTTTATATTATTTAAATGTCATATATTAACAGTAATGTTTAAATATCAACAATAAATAGTAACAATTCTTACTATTTATTGCTGATATTTAAACATTACTGTTTATATATAAGACATATCTGTTAAAGTTCTTGTAACTATTTGAATATTATCTTGAAAAAACATTTTACATAATTTTGTTAGTTCAATTTATATTTGCGTTATATAAATTTAGTCCATTTTTATTTCGTATGAGGTTCTCTATTTTTTAAGTTTTTAGTTTGAGAATAAAAATATCGTTGAATATTTTTTTAAACAAGATTTTTAAACCATTTAAAATTGTATTATTTTTTAACTTGCAATTTCTTATTTTTAGGACAAGATTAATTTTTATTTAACAATTAATTTTATGTGCGTACACGCATAATTTTAATTCAAATAAAAAATGATCCAATTAATTTTAAGTGTACTTATAAAATTAATGCACTGAATTTTTATTTTACAATTAAAATTACGACTGTATGTAATTTAAAGTATAGAATTAATTTTGTCTACACTTAAAATTCATTAGGCGCTGCAGGAATGCAGCTGAAAGTGACAACTGCAGTGGTTCATATGCATAGTAAAAAATATGTTTTATCGTTGAGGGAATTCCTTAGTCAATGGTTTTATATTAAACAAAACTTATTTTAAAGTATTACGAGTAGCTCAGGCAGGACAAAAATGGCCGCTTTCGGCCGCACTCCCGAATTAATTTTATGTGTACACATAGAATTAATTCTAGAATTTGTAAAACTATTGGTATAATTTTTTATTACAATTTAAATTAATATTAATGTCACAAAAAGATTGCAACCAGAAAAATTGCATTAAAAAATCATTTAACATATTTTATAAACATATTAAAAAACTCCTTGACGTGTATAATTCTGCAGAATCTGTTAAATGTGTTATTTTTAAGGTATTATTATTTCTTATATGATTAAAAAGTAAAACGGCGTATTGTTCCTTACCTGTTTCAGGTTGTCCAATTCCAGGTCAGGGAAGGATAGGGGACATATTTCCTTTTGAATGCATAGTAATATGAATTTGACTGTACCACCAGTTTGGAGCTCGTGATATATTAAATATGTATTTTAAGTGTATAAATAAAACAATTTTAGCAATAGTATTTACTTAATATATTTACTTCCTTTGAAAATCAAAAACAATTTACAAATAGAAAGATAATCCACATTTACATTGTAGTTATTTTGAAAAACTGCATCACAGTACCCACATCAACATGCAATAAAAAAAATAAATAAAAAATGTCACCTAACTACACATTAAAAAAAAGAAAGTTCTTTGTGGGATAAGTAAAAATTGTGGATATTTATATTTTTGCTATGTTTCGTTTGGCTGTACATTCAGAGTCTACAGATCTATCACAGAGAAGGTAATATTATGAAGAAGCAAGACGGTATGACTCTACGAGACTATGAGATGAGCTCAGCTAGTTTCAACACCAAAAAAGCTGCTGCGGGTACTGCACAATACACATCTAAACGGAGTAGTAGTCTAAATAATATTAAAAAAGGTATGTCTCAGTAATGAGGGATGCAGTCTTCTCTAGATCATAATCTAAAAACCTTAACTCTGTATCCTAATAATAAATTCCTTGTATCATATTTGTCAATGGATTATCATTTTTTTTTGGTTTGTAAGCAGTGTTTAAATTTTTTTTATTTATTTAATAATTTAATCGATTAAGCAGGAGCAAAACTGCAAAACGCCTCGCTTAATAATTCATCAACATGTATAAATATTAGCTACTAAAAAACTAATATTGGTGTATATAACCAAACAAAGGTTTGTTGCCTAGAGATTGTTTTTATTAACAAATGTCGCAATTTCTCAATAGTTTAATAAATATTGTTCAATCTTACGTAATTATAAGACTTATAATAAAATACATTATATACCTTCAACTTCACTGCTAAGACAAGAGTTACAAGTTACAATAGCTACAGTTTTGTAAATGACATATGAACGATGATGACTTAACTGTGACTAAGAGTGTTCCGTTGGTTGGTTTAAATTACTCCATCACGCAGCCGGGCATTCGCGCGGTTCTCGCCTCCGTTGAAAATCCCTTCGAGCCGTCGGGGCCCTTCGGTTGCCGCGTCAACAGCAACTTGGGGCCCGTGTCGTCCACGGATATTGTACGTAGTCTGCTTATCAACCTTTCCGGTCGAGCTTGAACGTCACTGCAAAATACATACAATATCACTAAAAACTAAACAACAGCCATTTTGCCACAATGTGGCGTTTTTCCATATGTAAACATGTAAAAATGTATTTAAAATGTGCCTAATAAGTTATTAGTAATAACGAAGATAAAGCCCTTAAAGTTGAAAATAAATAATCGTTTTTTTCGCAACCGATTTTGTTCAAATTCTATACCAAAACAAGTCTTGTTCAAACAGTGATAACGCGTTTTATAATGGTAATTAAAGAACTAATGTCATAAGACGTCATTTTGTAATGGACTTATGACATGAGTTCTTCATTCTATTTTATCCATTTTGCAAAAATTCTACAAAAAAAATTAATTTTATACCTTAAATTTAATTTGATCGAATGTTAATGTCAAAATAGATTCGCCATGCCGTCCATAATTTACTTATTTACAATAAGCGGCTGTTAATGTTAAAGAAGAAAAAAGGATTTTAGGAAATTCATTGCAAGAAAAGTCTCGTAAGTACTAGAAAAATCATAAAAATATTATAACTATACCGCGGAACTTTTCCAGCGATGACGTCAAAATGTTTACAAAAACCAGAGTTAAAAAAGACACTTATCTTAATACATGTGCAAAAAATAATTATAATATCACAATATAATTATTTTTATGTAATCGCTGGAAAACTTCCGCGGTATAATTATAACCAATATGCAAAATATTATGCTGTTTAAAGTATAGCCAACCTATAAAATCAAATTTTGGTAGTAGTAGTATCTCATAACAGCACCGAAAGCGGTATTATAATGAAGTCATTATGAACGCAAAATACACTCACAGGCAAAATAATCGATCCACATAAATTTTCGATTAATTTCAATCACATAACTTTTTTATTTCATTTCGGATTTAAACAAATATTAAAGAATATTGTAGATAAATTAATGGAGAACCGCTCATATTTTAAAAAATACTAAAAAATAGACATAGGTTCAAACAAAAAGATATTTTTTACCATAAGTTTAAGACACTCTGGAGAGTAACAAAACCGTATATTGTTCTAAATTAAGTTTTAATTATTAAGCCACATCTATTTTTAACAGTTTTGTTTTTGGTTCACCTTGATATATTTATTTATGTGGAAAATATGGATTTAAAAAAAAAACCATTGCAATTTCCAATATTTTTTCTGTACGAAGAACTAAGGTTGCTATGGTCCATCCATAGCCTATGGAGGATGACAGTGACAGTTTTGTTGAATCATCCCATACTTGGACATATCATATACGGCCTTCAAAAGCTATCAAATTGTTTTTTTATAAATTAATATGTTAATTTTGAGGTGTCCTCTTACTTTTAAAAATGGATATGTCTCAGACTGATGTTGCCCTTTGTACTTTACTTCTTAAGATATTTTTCCGACTGATGTTGCCAGAGCCATTGATTTAAATCAGGACGGTCACAGTATTACTTGGCAAGTGTTTTAAAAGTCACAATTGTGACTTTTAAAACACTTGCCAAGTAATACTGTGACCGTCCTGATTTAAATCAATGGCTCTGGCAACATCAGTCGGAAACATATCCATTTTTAAAATTAAGAAGACATCTAAAAAGTTAAACATTAATTTGCAAAAAACAATTTGATAGCTTTTGAAAGCCGTATATGACATGTCCAAGTTTGGGATGATTCAACAAAACTGTCACTGTCATCCTCCATAGCCTATGGACATCTAAAAAGTTAAACATTAATTTGCAAAAAACAATTTGATAGCTTTTGAAAGCCGTATATGACATGTCCAAGTTTGGGATGATTCAACAAAACTGTCACTGTCATCCTCCATAGCCTATGGATAGACCGTAGCAACCTTAGTTCTTTGTACAGAAAAAATATTGGAAATTGCAATATTTTTAAAAAAAATCCATATTTTCCACAAAAATAAATATATCGAGGTGAACCAAAAACAAAAAGTTTAAGACTGATAATTAAAACTTAATTTAGAAGAATATACGGTTTTGCCACTCTACAGAGTGTCTTAAACTTATAGTAAAAACATATTTTTGTTTAAACCTTTATATTATAAACGTACATCTATTTTTTAAAATGTTGATTCTCTATTAATTTATCTACAATATTCTTTTATATTCGTTTAAATAAAAAAGTTATTTGCGATTGAAATTCATCGAAAATATGTGTGGATCGATTATTTTGCCTGTGACGTAGATAAAGTAGATAAATATTTGTATGTTTTTTTAGGGCCAAAACTGATACAGGAGGGAAGTTTCATAACTTTTTTTACTTCTAAGCCCATTTAGTATCAGCATCCAATAAAGATACACTTTTTGTAAATTCTTAAATTTATTTTGATGTGAAAAAACAACAATTTACCATTTAAAAACAAATAAATAAATGTTATTTATCTCAAATATAAATGAATTAAAATTATTAGTACATACAAAATTTATAAAGCCAGCCCTGTAGAATAAAATATTTGGAATACGACCCTAATTAGGAGGCGTTTATGACGTTCGTCTTGCTTAAGTTTAATAAAGAGGTCGCCCATCATATATTCTTTTTGTATGGTTTATTATTGCAAAAGTGTGCGGTGGCACTTCTACAGGCTTAAGTGCATATGTAAAAAAACTCATTAATTTTTTAATGTCACATTAGAATATATGAGTAATTCTTTTATAAACCGAACACCTTTTGACCGACACATCTCAGATTTGGCTGAAACTTTTTTTACGGATTCTATGTCGAAAAATAAGAGATACGTGTCCGAGGAATTTTTTTTCTCTCGCATATTTTCGATAATACAAGCTATCGAAAATTTGAGAATAACGAGTTATTTGGCTTATAGACTCATTTTCAAAAATTTATAACTCTGGTTCTATTTGAGCTACAAACTTCTTTTTTTTTTAATTTTAAAGCTAAAGGACTGAATTTTCATAAAAAAATATTTTTAATAAATATTAATAACAAATTCATATTGTTATTAACAATTTCATTGTTTAAATCAATTTTTAACAATGGCCCCCACCTCGTATTAAGTTTTTAGTATTTTTATCGTATTCTCCGTTAAATTTTACATAAAAAACATGTTTTTAAAATATGGTACCTTTATTATTACTATTGTTAAAACATTAATTTGTATTGCGCGACACATAAAAAAACGGTTTTTTGTTAATAAAAAGAAAACTATAGCTCGGATCAAAAAAAGTCAAATATAAAAGTTGTAGATAATAAAAAGATATACAATTTTTATTTTAACTATTTTTTGACATAACCTCACTTTTCAAATAAAATGAAATTTTTCAATTAATTTGAAAAGTGAGGTTATGTCAAAAAATAGTTAAAATAAAAATTGTATATCTTTTTATTATCTACAACTTTTATATTTGACTTTTTTTGATCCGAGCTATAGTTTTCTTTTTATTAACAAAAACCCGTTTTTTTATGTGTCGCGCAATACAAATTAATGTTTTAACAATAGTAATAATAAAGGTACCATATTTTGAAAACATGTTTTTTATGTAAAATTTGACGGAGAATACGATAAAAATACTAAAAACTTAATACGAGGTGGGGGCCATTGTTAAAAATTGATTTAAACAATGAAATTGTTAATAACAATATGAATTTGTTATTAATATTTATTAAAAGTATTTTTTTATGAAAATTCAGTCCATTTAGTTTTAAAATGAAAAAAAAAAAGAAGTTAGTAGCTCAAATAGAACCAGAGTTATAAATTTTTGAAAATGAGTCTCCAAGCCAAAAAACTCGTTATTCTCAAATTTCCGATAGCTTGTATTATCGAAAATATGCGAGAGAAAAAAAATTCCTCGGATACGTATCTCTTATTTTTCGACATAGAATCCGTAAAAAAAGTTTCAAGCAAATCTGAGATGTGTCGGTCAAAAGGTGTTCGGTTTATAAAAGAATTACTCATATGCATTAATTAAAAACATGGGCTGTATAGAGGATGTATTTAATTAACGCATATCTTATACACAATGAGAAATCAATGATTTTTTTCATATGCACTTATACCTTATCCCATGGCTAAATTACAAATTTTATTTAGGAATTTAGGAGATTTTTTGGAGAATTTTAGGAGAAGTAAAGTGTGCAAATAAATTTCTGTAATTAAATAAAAATAAGTCTGGACTTAATAAATAAGAAAAAAAATAAATCCTTTTAACAAAAATATAAAAACATATCACTTCTTTTGTACAGGGTGATCCCCTATAATGTCGCCCCCCTTTAACTTTTTTATTTTAAGTGTCCCAAAAAATTTAAAAGTGTGGTTATGTAGGTACTAAAAAATACTTTTTTTCTAAGTATAAAGAAAATTGGAAAATTTATCAGTATACAGGTAAAAACAAAAAGTTTACTTTTTTTCAATTGATCACCCTATATATGTATTTATTTTTCGATTCCTTGTAAAATTCTAAGTATATTTTATATAACATACCATATACCTACATTCAACTGTTTCTGAAATATTTAAATTATTTTTAAGATACTAAGTTGAAATAGTTTGTGTTTCTCTGTCTGAGTACCCCATTTTTACTTATTTAAAAAGACATATTGACATTATGTGACTATAGTAATTTATTTTAATTAAAAATTTTTGTATACTGAGGCTTCTTGATTTATAACAGTTTAAAAAAACATTTAATGATAACATTTCGAATGCGAATATTTCAGAAACGGTTAAATTTAGGTATATGGTTTGTTATATGAATTATGCTAAGAATTTTACAAGGAATCGAAAAATAAATTCATATACAGTGTGTCCGTAAAGTCCCGGAACATGTGATTATTTTGAAAACGGTATTTAAAAAAAAAAAACGCTGAAACACGTCAACTTTGTTATTTTTCTAGCAATATTTTAGCATATGTAGTTGTTCCAAAATCTGCCGCGTGGCGGCGCCCCAATCGAAGTAAGGTTTTTTTAAATTACAACCCTTTATTTTTGTTGCATTTTTGGATAGCTACCGTCGTCCTGAGTACATTGATATGCTACATGTGGAGGGTTACATAAGAAAATTTTTGAGAAAAGTAGGTTTTTGCCGCTGATTGAGATTTTGGTTTTGACGAACTTATTCGCTGTTAAGGGGCACTATGCATTGCTAGTAAGGGATTATTTAAATCAGGTCTTTCCCAATCGCTGGATAGGTTAAAGGGGTCAAATTGAGTGGCCAGCGCGATCGCCCGATTTGAACCTTTTAGACTTCTTTTTACGGGGACATCTTAAAAACCGCGTCTATGTAAACAGGCCTTAAAATTTGGACGACCTAAGACACCGCATTCAAGCCGAGATCCAGATGATCACTCCAGCGGTACTGGCAAACGTACAACGCTCGTTTGTAGACAGGCTGTTCCATTGCCAAATAGTTTACGGTGGACACTTTGAGCAACTGCTCTGATTGGCTTTCCAAAAAACATTAAGCAACGCATAGATTGTGTAAGTTTGTCAAAATACCAAAATCTCATTCGGCGGCAAAAACCTGATTTTCTCAAAAATTTTCTTATGTAACCCCCCAGATGTGGCACATCAATGTAATCAGGACAACGGCAGCTATCCAAAAATGCAACAAAAATAAAGGGTTGCAATTAAAAAAAAACTGACTTTGATTGTGGCGCCGCCACGCGGGAGAATTTGGAACAACTACATATGCTAAAATATTGCTAGAAAAATAACAAAGTTGACGTGTTTTAGCGTTTTTTTTTTTTAAATTACCGTTTTCAAAATAATCACATGTTCCGGGACTTTACGGACACACTGTATAGGGTGATCCATTGAAAAAAAATAAACTTTTTGTTTTTCCCTGTATATTGATCAATTTTTCATTTTTTTTAATACGTGGAAAAAAAGTATTTTTTAGTACATACATAACCACTTTTCAATTTTTTGGGACACTTAAAATAAAAAAGTTAAAGGGGGGCGACATTATAGGGGATCACCCTGTACAAATAAGTTACATTGACTAGTTTTATAGCCAAATCGCTCGACGAGTTTTTTTTAATAACATTAAATGAGAGGTAAAACTACTACTTTTGTATATATGAGGTATATACAAAAGTAGAAATTTTACCGCACTTTTAATTTTATTTAAAAAACGCGTCGATAAATTTGGATAAAAAATTATAATAACAATAATTGTGATGGTGATCTTAATACTCAAAAATCTCATAATAGAAAAAATATGAAGTTTGCATAATACAGCAAAATATTGTTTAGATTGTTTACTATATAAAAGAAAATTAAAAATAGTTTTTCTTCATACCTTGTTCGAAAGTACTTACTTTCGTCCCTAATAGCAGGGATGAAAGTTTAACATTAAATTTGACTCCCTGTGCTATTAGGGACGAAAGTACTTTCGAGTGAGGTAAAGTTTCGTCCCTGCTATTAGGGACGAAAGTAAGTACTTTCGACCGATGTATAAAGAAAAATAGTATACACCACACGGGCCAAACGTTGAAATATCGGTCCTGCGCGTCATGATGCGCAGGGCCGAAAGTTCAACTTTCGGCCCTTGTAGTGTAATATACTATTGTTTGATATATAACACGGTATATTTTTGTCGATAACGAAATATGGCTAAACATGACAATTTTGTAGAAGTCTAGGAGCTACTACATGGATTTTGTTTTTAGGTATATTTTGTTGTTTTTTTTTTAATTTAATTTAATAAACTAGAACCTAGGAATATATATTTTTAAATTACTTAAAAAAAAATTCCTTAATTAAACGCAGTCAGGTTGGCCTATTTATATTTAATTTTTAGGAGATTTAGGAGATTGATAATTTTAGGAATTTTCAAGATTTAAGTCAAATTTTATGAGTTTATAAATTTTTTTTAACATTCACAATACAGTTTAGCAATAAAGTATGTAGTCTTGGCAACTTTAATAATTTTTTGTGTGTTTTAAGTAGAGTATATTAGTTTCAATAGTGCCCGTACCTCCTTAAATTAACCGCCACCCTGTGGCAAACGAAAGATTTACAGACAAATGTAATTATAGTTTGACAAAAATTTTTGTTCAAATCCGGCGAATTAGGAAGTTATTATTACCTGACTTTGACGACGCCGCAGGCCGATGACTTGCCGCTCCTGTGATTGGTGACCAGGACGAATTCGACGGTGTCGCCGACTTGCAGCGCGACGTTGTCCTTCACCTCGGTCATGTGGAAAAAGAGCTTCTTGCCCTCCTCCACCTCGTAAGCCAGAAAGCCAAAGTGGCCTTTGATCGCGTCAACGGTGGCGCGCAGCTTCTTCCTCACGGCGATTATGTTGGCGGCGCGACCGGTCTCGTCCACCTGCAACTGGACGTGGTCGCCAACCTGAAGCAAACACAAATCTTTACTTAGAGTACACCTAAATGTGAAAGCAAAATAATAATACCGCCGCCTAAATGTGAAAACTAGGTAATTCGAATTTTGGCGAATTTGAGTTATCTATAGATACATATATGTAATTTGAAATTAAGTAGATAGCAAGTATGCAAGAACTAGGAAACTTGTGGAAGTAATCTGGAGACTCCCAATTGTCAAATTCGAGTTTTATATGTTTTTTTGTCTACAACTGGGTGAGAATTCGTAAAACGAAATCCAATTTTTCCGAAAGTCGGTATGTTTTTGAAAAATATAAAATTACAAAATTAATATTTATTTAATTTTTAGAAAATTTTTATCATGGAAATAAAGCCTTTTAGTGAAATTTTACTGAATGAAAATCCTTGAAAAAAAATGATTTAAACACAAAAACTGTTTAAAATAAATAAGCCAATTTCTTAATTTATAATATTATTGTTATTTAACAATTAAAGGGGTACAAGAGCATTTTAGAATAAAAAATAAGTTAAGTGCAGAATTGGGTAGTCCATTTTTTTTTTTATTTTCTCATAACGTGAAAATTGTACTAGTTCTGCATGTTGATTAATGCAAAAAACGAACATTGTTACAAGTATCAGAATTGGGTAGTTTAAAGTCCATTTTTTTTTAAATTTTCTTATAACGTGAAAATTGTACTAGTTCTGCATGTGGATTAATGCAGACAAAAATATTGAAACAAGTATATAGCAAAAACTTTAAAGGGTTAAAGGGTTAACCTTTTGCTTCTCACCCCTTCAATTATAATAATTATCAATGGGCACATAAGAATGATATTGAGGAGTACTTTAAATCATTTGTGCTTAGTTAAATTGGTTTTTTAACAATTTAGTAATAATTTCAGAACAAAAATAAACGAAAACAGACAAAAATAATTCAAAAGATTTTCAGTCCAAAATTTTCAAATTAACCATAGACAATATTCTGAGGGTTAGAAATCAAGCAAAAACTTTTATCAAAACTGAAATTTTCTGAGAAATGTAAAAAGATGGCGGATTGAAATTATTTTTTCGATATATCGTATCAAACGATATATCGAAAATCATACAATATACAGGGTGCACCAAGGATCCTTCTATGGGTATTTTTTTTATTTGAAGAGCTACATTAATGTCGGTTAAATTAGAGAAAAGTTGCGTAATAACAAGGCTATTAACATGATATTTGAAATTGGAAAAGAAACAAGCGGTTTTCAAAATATTTGAAAATAAACTAAAATCCTTTCAAATCCCAAAATTGTTATAACTTTGTTATTTCTGGAAATTTTAAAAATAAGTAAGTTTTAAATTCACACACACAATTTTCTACATTTTCATACAATTTGTGATTTTTTTCGCCCACTAGATTTACCACTACCATCTTTTGTTTTTATATGGCCGCCATATTCGACGATTTTTGGTTTTGAGAGGTTTTTAGTTTTTTCAAATTATTTGAGAACCACTGATTTTTTTCTCAATTATTAAATTTCATTTTAATACACTTGTAATTACGCAACTTTTGTCTAATTTAGTCTAATTTAACCGCTCTTCCAATAAAAAAGATACACATATATAGAAGGATACTTGGTGCACCCACATACTTATAATAGAGAACTCTTTAAGTATGTTTGTGCACCCTGTATATTGAAAGAAATATATTGATATATAGGGTTTTTGGGGGCAGTGGAAAAATTAATTATTTTAAGCACTTTTTTGAAATAACTTGGGCATTAAAAAAAATTGGAAATTTTAGGTGCTAATAAAAAAATGTAATAGGTACATTAATTTAACAACCCAAAATAATTATAATTATTATTACATATTACATATTTTAAGGTTGATATTGATAATATATATTAACAAAAAAAGTTTATTTCAATTAATAATCAACGTTATAAATCTTTGTTTTTAAATTAAGGTTCTCAAAGACAAGTTGCCTATAAAAAACGCTTTAATTCCAAAACAAAATATGGTAATCATTTAATAGTTTTATGTACCGATATATTTAAAAATATATCGATATGTTTTTCGATGTATCGAAATCGATATATCATCGCCCTAATAATACAATACTTGTAATATTTACCAAAAAATTACAAAACATTTTTTTCACAAATAGTTTTAGAGCTATAAGGGTTTAAAAATTTATTTTCTTTATTTTAATTTTTTAAGAGTATTTATTTATATAAAAGGTATAAGCACAATTTTCCAATAAAGTTAAAAAGAAGTTAATAATATTTGTGCGTGCATTTATGTATGCATCGCGATCACAAATGATCACGCCAGTAAATTGAGAATTCAAAATGTTTGTTCTAGTTTTTAATTCGGGAGACTTTGATAAACATGTAAAGTAATACTATTAAAAAAAATTATTAAAATTTAAATTGTTTACTGTAAAGAATACGTTTGTTACGAAAAAACATTTTTTTATTTGCAATATTGTTTAAAAAATAATTGAAGTTTTGAAGCATTTTTATTTAGGGTGAAATTTCATAAAAAGGCTTTACCTATATCTGATAAAAAAATTTGTTTAAAACAGTATATATTATTAAGTATCACAATGAATTTTCATGAAGTCGGGAAAAAGGTAAGCCGTTTCACGAATTATCATCAGCCAACTGTTAAAAAAGTGTTTTGTTACCTGTAAGAGCTCTCTTTTGCTGGCCAATCCCATGATGCCGAACTCGTACTCGATCGGCTTGTCTTCGGGATTGTCCGCATTGATGCGCACCAGGCCGCTGTACTCGGTCTGATCGGGATTGACCGAGCGCAGGGGCCGGACGACTTGACCGTCCAGAACGTCGCCGCTGACCGCCGGCAGGGCGATGCTACCCTTCGGCACGATCTTCACGTTTTCGGCGGAAGAGCACGAACCGGAATTGCCGCGCACGCCCACGTTGTACTCGACCTCTTGGCCCAGTTCCAAGGTGTTGGAGTCGCCCTCGAAATTACTACAATTATACAAAACACCGTTACTTATTTGTGGATCACATTTTAATTCATTTCAAATTCCCGGACTTTTACAGGTTTTCCCTGACCAAAGACCTTAAAATTTCAGATAAATAAACGAAAGAAATAAAGACAATTAGCGCCCGAAGTAGTGCCCCGTCAGAATTACTATTGCCAAGAAATGGTATTTTTCTACTAGCGTGCGCAAAGTAACACTTATCCACAAAGTTGCACTTTTCCGCACGTATTTGCATTTAAAATGTACGTAAAGCTTAATTTTCATGTATCCGTTTGTGCGTTTTTCAATAAAATCGTCCGATACGTAATGTTCTAATTTTCATGCATTCGTTTTTAATGACGTTTAAAGCTTAATTTTCATGTATCCGTTTTCAATAAAATCGTCCGATAAGAAATGCTCTAATTTTCATGCATCCGTTTTTTAATGACGTTTAACGGATTGATTTGGCGACAAATAGAAATAAAGGGTCAGTATATTTTCTTTACTAAATTTACCTTATGCTCAATTGTCATTGTTACAATTATGTCAACAATTGTAACTTTAACAGTTAGCTGTCTAATAAATTTAAAGGTAGGTAAATATACTGTAATGGGCACGATATATGGGCAGTTAATTTTTAACATTTCTTAATTTATTTTTTAAGCTTTACGAAATATGAGACTAGTTTTAAATATTTGTTTTTAAAATTGTATTAGGTGTTAGGTATAAGTTTCACTTCCATACATTCTTTATTTGTTTATTATGCAATAATAATTTATGACTCCCATCTGGACAACCACTTAAGGGTTCGTTACAGAAAGAAAATAAGCAAGTTTTGGTTCATGTTGCTGGTCTTTAAAAAATAAACATAAAAAGAGTGTGTTAAAAACTTAGAGAGGAGAGTATATTTTAGGCAGTTACGTTTTACTCTTGGAAGGGACGAGTTGAATTCTTAAATTTTATAAGGGAGTGAATTTAGCCAATAATAAATTAATTTATATAAATTCAGTTTTGTGAAAGTGTTGTTTATTTATATAGGTATGTCTTTTCTATAATTATTTATAATAACTTAGAGTCACAAATATCATAATAAGTGGTTAATTATTTCATATTTAATTTAAACTATATTTTATTTGTTTATTTTATTTTCTTCTTCGCGAAAGAAGTATATTTTGGGTTGTGGTTGGACAAACTTAATTACTTATTTATTATAATCATTATTTTATGTTTACCATTTAAATATTCACATTTTATTATTGTTATATTGTAATGCAATGTATCATGTTATTACATATTTCTATTTAACTTTAACATACTTTGTTTTGTACAGTTTACATTATTTTGTTTATTCAATAAATTGATATTCTTTATTTAATATGTTGAGACTTTGTTGTCAATCCTGAGCCATGTATGGTTGGTCCTAGGATGTATAATACATTTATTTCGTTGTGTGTTTCGCGATCTTGCTATTTATTTAATTTTGTTAATCGATCTTTGGGGACCTACTAAGGGAGTAGACACTATGATGTGCACTGAGTCTTAGCCCCTTAATTTATTAACAAAATATGTTTTATTATATTGTTGTTGGCCAATTTAGCTATGAAGTATGAACATATGATGTTTGTAATGAAAGAGGCATGTGCATGTGCACGAGTATACGAGGGCCGTCCGAAAGTGAATTGAGTTAGGGCTAAGTTTTGTCTCATAGTCTCAGTTTTTATTTACTTTGATCATTCTTTTACGCTACCATTCTTCAAACTATTATATTTTATATTTTACGAACTTAAAATGTTTTATTGATATTTTTATGACTTTATACATCTAAATGTATTTATTATTTATGACTGTACACAAATATTATTGCATTACGGTTGTCCACCGCAATACCACTTGTTATTTATATATTTTATTCACCACTACTATTTATTATGTTCTCTGTGACTTAAGTTACATGCTATTTTATTTTACACATTGTTTTTGTTTGTTGCTGTACATTGATAATAGTTTCAATTTGTATTTGCTATTTAAACACCGTCCGAGCCTAACATTTATGTAGGTGAATAATCTTAACAATGTGATAATATGATTGATGATATTATATTTGATTATTTGATTACTTTGATTTTGTTATATTATTTATATTGTTTAGATGTGCGACACATATGCATGTCTGGATTGTATATGTGGGTTTTTAAGGTTTTACCTTATTAACTTAAATCAATGATACTTTTCAAATACAAACGTTTTTATTTATATTATTAATATACAGTAGCAATAATATTAACTCTTTTATTAATTGTTTTTATTAATAAACTTATTTTAATTTAATACTTTTTCTTTGCTTTTTAAATATCTTTTCAATTGCTCAAGTACTTACGTATCCAGAACCGTATTCACAACAAAAAGGGGTCCTAATTTAATTTCTTTAAACTAGACGATCACGTGTTTTGGCCAAAGGTAGTTTTTTTGTGGTTTTAATATTCTTTCTAATTATTTAAATGTGCCCCCTTGCCCCCGTTCGTTACAATACCATATAAAAAGAACATACCAGCCTTAATTTACATTAAAATTTATAGTTTTAAAAAAGCAGGTCCTTTTAGTTCTGGTTTTAATATTTTTTGTTTGTCTTCTTTTTTTCTGTTATTCCTATTAAATAAAAACATAACAGTAAAACATTATTCACATAACGAACGTTATATTTCCGTTTTACAATCTTATTAAAAAAATATTAAAAGATTTGAAAATAAATTATCTTAAAATAACGTTAGGCGTCAAAAACAAATGTATAGTGACGGATGAGTTAAAATTATTTTAACTTTTTCTGTCAGACGTACGAAGTGGAAACTTGACGGACCTATAAAATGTCATACATTTTGAATTATAATCGGACCAATAAAGCGCTCCCGGATGAACGGACTAACGGACAAACGGATACATGAAAATTTAATTTAATTTAATTAAGCTTAAGTATGGTGATGAGTATGAGTATGAGTATGGGAACGTATGGCAGGCCCCAGATATATTATCATCCACTGATCTCCGGGGGTTATTTTACCCCCTTTCCGTTCTCCTGCGTATCCCGCCAAATCACAGCATTACCTGTGTTTGTTGGATCCGAAGTTTTTACGCCGGCTGGTAGATCCACCCTAGGAGTTCGTGGATGACAGTGTCAAAGTTTAAGGCCGCTCCCGGGATTTTTGTCAGCCGGGTCGGGCCATACGTCCAGTTTAGGAAGGGTTTTTGGAGGACATTGAACTGACCCAAAACTAAGTACAATCCGGAATCCTCCTGAACCTAGGCCTCAGTAGTACCCCCATTCAATTGGTATTCGTGAATGCGGGGTATGTTAGTTATTTGCTTACTCCTATCTTTGTTGGTTTACTTCCGGTTCGTCAGTTTCTGTGTCCGTCTCCGGGTCGGCATGTGCCCAGTATTTTAGTTGTGCCACCTGACACGTTTGGTGATTGTTTTTCCTTCTAGGAGGACTCTGGGCGATATCTTGTCAGTACATGGAGAGAAAAATTTTCCCAAAATAACCATCCAAAGCACCGTCAAACGACGCATCGCGAAATCAGTCACTGTCCCACTAAACCGCGGATCTGTATGGCTAAATTAGCAATACAGATCCTCAGCCCAATAAAACAGCTGACCAAACCCACGATACGTCATCCAACAATACCCCGGATAGCCATTTCGGCAAAATTCCTCTCTCCGTGTACGCCCCTGTTCGTGATGTATTTCGATTGCGACGTTAAATATGTCCGATGCTGATATTGTTTCCAAACCCAGCCAGAAGCCGTTTTGTGCGTGGTCCTTTAGGTACGCCTCTGTTTTACGTTCCCAGTCGTTATTATGCGCGTAGCGGTGGGGTTGGTCAAGGATCGCATCCTGTAAGTATGGGCTGTATGTCTCAATGTGTGTTCGTAAGTGGTTATTTAGTCATTGTCTTAAAGCGTATGTACTTGTTGACCCACTCAGGCTATTATCTAGTTGATGAGCCAAGCTGGCCACTAAGCAATTTCCGTCGGATGGAATTTTAATTATTCCCACCGAATGATTTACTATTTCAATGTTTGTTATGGTTTGTGTTTATTTATTATTTATGGTTTGGCGTTTATTTATGGTATTAGTCGAGTGTTTATTTGGGGGGTGGAGCTAATGTCTTATCTGCCTTTTCTGTTTTGTTTATGTAATGATTTGAGTGTTGTCTGTCTCAATAGGAATGTTTATTTGCTGGGGCTTGAAATTTATTTTTCGGTATATAATACGTTTTACTTTAGATTTTTTGGAATAAAATGGTTTTTTTTAATAAGACATGCAGTTAGAAAAATTACTTAGCTTGATTATTAGGCTATAATCCTGATGCTAGGTCTTTCACGGTCTGTCCGTTATTTCTGGACCTCCCTGCAGGTTATTGACAGGCTTTGGTTGTGACTATCCCTGCTGACCAGTTGGACTGGTTGGCCTTAATTACTTATTCAGTTGCACTCTTTTACGGCTTTAACAGGGGATCTCCCACACTTTTCACACTTGCACTTTTTTTTTGCACTTATCACACTTTCCGCACTTGATTGTTTATTTATTTATTTATTTATTTATTACCGATTACCGATATTTCCGAATACAGGTTCGTTTTTGGAACTTTATTACGTTTCTCTAGTATACGCTGCTAGGAGAGGAATCTTTAACTACTTGACGCGTCTATCCACTTCGAGTGTCAAGGCAATACTGGAGCTTAAGTATGGTGATTTTAGACAAAATCAAATTTAGTTAGTTACTTGTGGAATTCCATGGAATTAATATGTTTGGTAAAATGCCTGCACAAATAGCTGCATATCTAAAACTTAAAAATCCTAAAGTGAACACAGGTCATAGTTTTTGTAGATCCTCCGCTACCATATTAGCCGATTCTGGGAAAGGAATTTCCAATGTTAAGCGATATGGAGGCTGGAAATCAACGGCTGTCGCCGAAAGGTACATAGAAGAATAAAAAAAAATATATCATTGGACTTAAAAAACGCCTCTTCTGAGTTAATACAAACTTTATTAAATAGTACAAGTCACCTGTTGCGCACTTTGCGCACGCTAGTAGAAAAAATATTGTTCCTAACACATGCGCAAAGTAATTGTTCCGCACTTACTGCTTGCCCGAAATCCGCTTCGCGTCGGAAAAACGTTAAATGTTAAAATTCCCCGACTTTTGCGCTGACTTTCAACATTCCCTGACTTTACTCGAGTTAAAACGTATTCCCAGGCTTTCAAGGATTTCCAGTTGGCAGGGAACTCTATACTTACTACGTAAATTAACCACATGCATATTTTTTTAGTTACTCCAGGGAACTCTATACTTACTACGTAAATTAACCACATGCATATTTTTTTAGTTACTCCAAAGAAGTAGTCATTTAATAAAAAATCTTTGCTAATCTTACCTAAAATGGAAAAAGACCTCCTTGTCGTGCTGAATGGTTTCGATAAAACCGAAACCGTCCTTGAGGGCGGCAATGAAGCCCTGATAGATTTGAGCGTTCCTGGGCGTGCTGCCGCTTCCGGCGGCGGCTGCAGCACTGTTACCGTTGCCGTTGCTATTTTTGACGCCGTTAGTCTGCAGGGCGCACGATTGTGTTATCTGTACTTCAGTGGCGATCAGCTCCTTGTTTCTTTTTACCTGGTTTATATTGAACTCAACCTGAAATTAACGAATTTTGTTCCATTTTACATGTGTTTTTATTTAACGAATTTCTACAGGGTGCACCAAGTATCCTCCTATGTATGTACATCGGACTGGTTAAAGAAAAATCGAATATCTTTTTTTTCAATGCCATATGTTTAATAGTTGGAGGAAGAGGAAATAAGACTCCTGTTCAATTTTAGGCCCTTAATATTAATATTTGAGGCCTGTCAGAGCAAAGTCAACAATCTCCCGTCAGACTAAAACTGAGTAAATTGAGATCATTGATTTTGGTATTTTAAATTCTAGATTTGTAATTTTTTTATATATTATATTGAAATATTCTTGTTGTTAGTCTAGTAGCAAACTACAACGTCTCCAGGATGCATAGTATGGGTGAAATCTATAATTATAAATTGGAGATTGCTGACTTTGATATGAATTGCTGGAGATTGCTCATTTTGTTGTAAACGTTTAAGGAGATTTAGAAAAATAAATAAAAAAAATAATTGTATTTTTTTCCTTTAATGGTTATAAAATTTAACTATACAATCAATGTGGGAAAATTCTGAACTGGACCACATAAATCTGGAGTTTCTTCTAAATCTGGGACCAGGTTGCTTCGTGCAAAAAAGTTTTTATAGTACAACAACTCATCATCTTCTTCCCACTTTGCCCCGTAATTTTTTACTTGCAATGTTTTGACATTATCAGCCTTTTCTTGCTTTACCTTTACGTCTTATTATGGTATAATAGCACAAAATAAACAAGATAACTTTTTTTATAATTTTTAAAACAATAAAACGTATATATACCTATTTTAAATATATTTTTAAGTTCAATTTACTGCAATAGAACTTAAAAGTATGTACCGATAAAAAAACACAAAATTAAATCTCTAAAATACGTTATAACATCAAATGTTAGGAGATTGTATACTTTGCTGCAAATCTATCAGTGGAGATTGTCGACTTTGCACTAAATGTCATTTTTAAAATAGGATTTTAGGCAGGATTTAGCTCCTTTTGCAGCACATAAACTTTATCATCTTATAGATAATTAGTTGAAGTACAGTCTCCGCCAAAAATCTAATTTTTGACCAAAAGTGGAGATTGTCAGTTTTGTTTTGACAGGCCTCATTTAGTGGATCCTGAATGCAATTTTTCATTTTTCCATTGAATGAACAATGTTCATTAAACATGGAAAAAGATATTTCTGAATTTTGTACATAAATGTCCAATACATATTTAAAATATGATATGTGATATTTTTATACAATATTTAATGCTCTACAAAAAAGATTCCCTATAGTTTTTCGATAACTAAACTTTTCTGAATTTTGTACATAAATGTCCAATACATATTTAAAATATGATATATGATATTTTTATAGAAAATTTAATGCTCTACAAAAAAGATTCCCTATAGTTTTTCGATAACTAAACTTTTCAAAGTCATGGTTTAAGTTAAAAATATGTAAAAATTCACTTAAGTGAATGACGTAATTTTATAGCGGTTGAAATGCCTAACAACAAAAACACACTAATGTGTGATAAGTCTAATATATTCTGTAAACCTTTTGTTGTTAGGCATTTCAACCGCTATAAAATTACGTCATTCAATTAATTTGAAACTCAAGAAAATTTATTTTTTGCTAAAAAAAAAAGGTGCTAACTCTCTAAGAAGGCAGATGTTTACAAAAACGCTTCCATAAATCATTAAAAAAAATAATCAAAGAATTGTCCCAGAGCTTAAAATCGCAATCTTTACTGATAATAGGTTTTATATTATCAACAACCCTCTCAGGGGTACTAAGCAGCATTAACATGCTGCAAGTCGGTGCAGGAGGAAGATGCAATAAAAAATAGTGTGTGAATTCTATTAAATTGGAAATTAAACAAAAATGCAGCAAGGCAGGCGAAAGTGTGCGGTCTTCGCAGAGTGGGGTAAAATAATATGTGTATATATGTTATAGGGCTTTGATGTGTAGAGTATAGTAAACATAAAGTTTTAAAATGTTAGGATGGTTAATCAAAATATTAAATATCTAAAAAAATTTTATCAAAGATAAACGCCGTGTTTCTAGTGATTTCACTCCCAGCAGGGATTATAACTAATACCATTAGATATTCCATGTTTAAATAACAAAAATATTGGAATTTTTCTTTGAGGTTTGTCTAACAAGTTTATATAATACTCCATACAAATTATTCATATTCTAAAATGCTACTAGTTCGAAAGTAGATAAACAAAAATAGCATGGATATTTGAGGAGGTGCATTCCAGAACTCAGCATATCCAAATTAAGTAATTTTGATCAAAATGTAAAAACCTTAAAAGTGAGTACTAACACATATCAGGCCAACAGAATATTTTAAACGAAATATATAGGCATAAGTACAACATTTATATACCTTGATTAAAAAGGTGTAGCTCCAATTTGAAATAATTTAAAATTACATAAGCATAAGAGTTCTGACATGATATAACCAATGGATAAGACAAGTTTTGGAACATAGTCAATTTGTAAATGAATTTTAAATTGAATAAGTTGAGTTTTAGAATATTATGACCTTTTCAGGGCATAGGGGGCTACATGTTTAATGTACAGACACCACTAACTCATTTTTATTGGTGATAAAATTGTAAAATTCAAGAAAAAACAGTTTTTTTGGTTGTTCTATAAAGTTTTGGTTTTGTAACTTACAAGGTATCAATATGAAATTTTATCAACAAAAAAACGTACAATATTAATTATTAAAAGTAGAAGTTAAGATAGATCTGACACAATTCGAATTTTACGCAACTTTTTTATAATTTAATACTTAAATTGACCTTCTAGCTCTTCAAATAAAAATATACACATACACAGGATACTTGTGCACCCTGTATAGCTCAAATATTTGTATGACCCAAACTTATTTGTTTACTTTTGTACTGAATTTACTTTAACTCAAATTTTCTTTAACTCAAATTTATTTGACGGGCCCTTTGGATTCAAGTTAGGGAAGTTTCCCTGTATAGAATTTTTAAGGAGACAATCATTAATTACGTGAGATAAAAATAGGTGGGAGGGGTCTCACGTCAACTTTTGTGTTTAAAGAATTTGTATTATAATTCAAATTTATTAAAAAAAAGCAATCAAAGTTTATTGGCTAGAATCTCACGTGAGGGGTAGGGGGGGGTCTACCACATCTTACCAAATCTCACCAAGGGGGAGGGAGGGGTCCAAATTATCAAAAAAATGCCTCACGTAATTAATGGATGTTCCCTAATGTGTTAGAAATGCAATTGTAGCATAGCTTAAATCTAAAAAACGTTATTTACCTTATCTCCCGTTCTGGGATAGTGCTTGATGTCGCAATCTTTGGAATAATAGGGAATGGTTTTCTTTGTACCGTAAATCTGATAGGTGATGATGCCAGACTCGACGGCGGGTTCTCCCCCACTCTGGCTGGTCTTGCTGGGACTACGAGTCGACCAGTTGGGCGCAATTTCTTTCGTCACCACTCCCGACAAATCGTTTTCGATCCTAATCTCAAACTGAACAGTTCCCGGTTCCAGCCACTTCATCCTTATGGCGCTCTGCCTATTAATAAGAAATAATACACCCTAAACAAAATTCTAACTTTGACATTATTAAAAGATTTGGTAGAACATAGTAACTAAAGTTACTAGGTTTTAAAAAATTACTGCATTTTTGGATTTAGCGTTTAAATTTACCTCTAGTAACTATTTTTTATCTCTTTTTATATTACGGTGGCTGTAAAATGTCTATCTCTATTTTTAGTAACTTATAAAAACTGTTAGGTATCCTAAAGCAAAATATGGAAAATAAAGTTACTATCAACAATGCTCCATTTTTTTAAATTCACCCCGTAAAAGCTAGTAACTCAAGTTGCTAGGTTTATCGCAAAGTATTTTCTAATAATTGAGGAGGTGCATTCCAAAACTCGGCTTATCCATATTAGTTGTTTTCGAGAAAAATGTCAAAAACCTTACACGTGAGTACTAACGCATATCAGGCAAACACAATGCTTTAAACGAAATATAAAGGCATAACTTATGCCGCATAAGTAAAACATTTATATACCTTGATTAAAAAGGTGTAGCTCCAGTTTAAAATAATTCGAAATAATTTAAAATTACATACGTATATGCCGAGTTCTGCATGATATAACCAATAGATAAGACAAGTTTTGGAACAATAGTCAAATGAATTTTAAATGGAATAAGGTTAGTTTTAGAATATTATGAACTTTTCAGGGTATAGGGGGATACATGTTAAACGTACAGATACCACTAACTCATTTTTATTAAAAAGTGGATAAGGCGAATTTTGGAATGGACCTCCTCACTTCTAATGGTAATAATAAAGCTGCTGCTGTTGACGGGAGTATTTTAAAGTTATTAAATAATTAATATTAAGCTTTATGTATACAGGGTGTCCGGGAAAAGGAGGTCAATCCATTAACCATATATTCTTTGAGTTAAAACAATAAGACTTTCATAATACCATTTTTCAATTTAGAGCTTCATGTTCGATATACAGGGCGACAAAGTTTCAAATTTAAAACTGATTTTTTTTAATAATTCAAGTAATTGATAAGATATAAAGTTTAAATTCGGTACACTTCTTCAACATAAATAGTTACATTTTTTGAGACCAACAAACCAAAAAAAATTGTCAAATAATCAAAATAGGGGGGTACAGTACTCACTGACTCCCCCTATTTTTTAGTACGTGCGCCAATGACTTCCAAACGGGATTTTTTCAGGTAATCATTTATTGTTGGAAATTTTTTGTCTCCTATAAAATTTTGATAAAATGATTTGTTTTAGAGATAATTTGTAAAGTATGGGTCAATCCATATCAAATTTTTGAAATTTAATTTTTTTTTGAAAAAATTTAGGTCACGTGATATATCATAAAAAAGGTATCTAATAGGCCTTTAAAATAAGCCATCACTCACCTTTCTACTTTTAATAGTTTACGAGATATCGCTATTTTTGTAAGTACTTGCAAAACCCAAATTTATCGGAATTTTTTGATTTTCAAAAATCGATAAAACAAAAACCACCCATCGAAAAAAATTCATATATGGGATTTTTGAGTTTTTTAGTGAGGTAAACAAATTTACCAAAAATTATCAAAATCGGAGATGGTGGGGGAAGAACCTTTGGTTGATTTGATATGGACTGACCCATACTTTACAAATTATCTCTAAAACAAATCATTTTATCAAAATTTTATAAGAGACAAATTTTTTTTAACCATAAATGATTACCTGAAAAAATACCGTTTGGAAGTCATTGGCGCACGTACTAAAAATAGGGGGAGTCAGTGAGTACTGGACCCCCCCTATTTTGATTATTTGACAATTGTTTTTTTGTTTTGTTGGTCTCAAAACATGTAACTATTTATTTTGAAGTAGTGTACCGAATTTGAACTTAATATCTTATCAATTACTTGAATTATTAAAAAAAAATCAGTTTTAAATTTCAAACATTGTCGCCCTGTATATCGAACATGAAGCTCTAAATTGAAAAATGGTATTATGAAAGTCTTATTGTTTTAACTCAAAGAATATATGGTTAACGGATTGACTTCCTTTTCCCGGACACCCTGTATATTTCAGCATTGATTAAAATCTGGCAACTTGATTTTTGATGTTTTAATAAGTTAATTTGTGCATATTTTAATCAACATAGAACTTTTTATACTACTATTTTCTTAATTATGATTTACGAAATTTGCACACTTTACCGGACTTTACCAGACTAGTTTTACGTTTCGAATAGTGTGTGTAACTTGTAATAACGGTGTTTTATTATTAAGAAAGTTCAAAATATGTCCAGAAGAACAAATTTGAAGTTAAGCTACCAGTGGCACCGTATTTGGAACCATTGGGGTTAAAAACTAAATAACAATGTTAAAGAATTGTCCTTTATTAAAGAAAAAAATTGTTATAGATTTACTAAAATGTTCAATTTTACTTAATATAATATGAATTTTTTTAAATTGTATTTTCACTAATAGACCAGTGCAGAAGCCTTTAAAAATGGTAAAAAGAGAAAAAAAATAACAGTAGGATGAAACCCATTGGAAAAGGAGGGGAATATAATAAAAATTAAAGGAAAAATAAATTACGGGCGATCTGAGTTCGGGAAGTGGGAGGGGGGGGTTTAAGGGTAAAAAATGGTTTATCTCGATTTCCGGCAAAACTACAAGTCCTATGAAAAAAAGATCTACAACTTTTGTATTTACAATTTTTTCACATAACCTCAAAATTTATGTGAAAAATTCAAAAAACCAAGTTTTTGGTTTTTTATTTTTATCTTTTCCACGAAATTTGGTGAAAACTTACCTTTTTATGTCCCAAATAATAATAATAATAATAATATTTATTTAATCCAAGAGATCTTTTACAGATATAGGATAGGTCAAAAATCATTTAAATACACTGTAATTTATTTGATTTGAAATATTTATTATTTCGCCTTATTTTGACTTAATATCAAAAAAGCACCCTAATTTTCAATCGAAAATTCTCGCGTCAAAATAATAGCTTTTTTCAAAAAGTCGGTGTGCTTTTTGTTCGATGAACTCTCTACTTTCTTATGGTGTAAAAAAAATATACATTACTATGGTAAATGTTCTCAGAAAATACAAAAAATATTATAATGAATAACGTAATCAGAATGAAGTATCTAAATTCAATAGTATGATTTACATGTATTTTTATATTTTATGAGATTTTCTGACATAAATGTTATTAGAAATTAATAAATAAACACTTTTTAACTAAAAAAAATTGCAACAATCACATTTTTTTGATGAAATTGTACATGATTAAAATAAATTTTCGAATTCGAGTTTTTTTCGTTATTCATTATAATATTTTTTGCATTTTCTGAGAACATTTACCATAGTCATGTATATTTTTTTACACCATCAGAAAGTAGAGATTTCAACGAACAAAAAGCACACCGACTTTTTGAAAAAAGCTGATATTTTGACGCGAGAATTTTCGATTGAAAATTAGGGTGCTTTTTTGATATTAAGTCAAAATAAGGCGAAATAATAAATATTTCAAATCTAATAAATTACAGTGTATTTGGGACATAAAAAGGTAAGTTTTCACCAAATTTCGTGGAAAAAAATTTTTTTTTTGAAAAAGATAAAAATAAAAAACCAAAAACTTGGTTTTTTGAATTTTTCACATAAATTATGAGGTTACGTAAAAAAATTGTAATTACAAAAGTTGTAGATCCTTTTATTACCTACAACTTTGCCATTTAACTTTTTTCCATAGGACTTGTAGTTTTGCCGGAAATCGAGATAAACCCACTTCCCGAAGTCAGATCGCCCGTAATTTATTTTTTCTTTCATTTTTATTATATTCTTCTCCTTTTCCAATGGGTTTCATCCTACTGTTATTTTTTTTGGTTTCAAAAATTATCGACCCTGGTCTATAAGTAAAATGGTAAAAACCCTAAATAATTATTTATTTTAACTTATAGTCGATTTACTATATTTTACTCAATCATATTAAAATCATTCAAAAAATACAGTAACTATCAATTGATATGGCCAGCTTTTGCATAATTACTTATATAAATAAATTAACAAAATATAGTAACATGTAAAGAAATTACTTATTTTTTTGATAATTTTTTAATTTTATCAAATTCCTCGTTAAAAATTATGTAGGAATTGATCATTAGATATATTAAATATTTTGTTGCAAAGAAAGGCTATGCAATTTTAGAAAATACGCTGTCATGAAAAGTTACAAAATCATAGTTCCTAGGTTTTGCCAAAGTACGGCAGATGTGATGTAATAGTTATTTGTTTTACAAGTGTTGAAAAGCGACTTTTTCATGCGAGTTTTTAAGTTGCCCACGAGGCCGTTAGGCCGAGTGTGCATTAACACGAGCTTGAAGAAAGCTTTTCTCACAAGTATAACCCAATGTTTTTTCTGCGACCCTTTTATTTTTTATTATTTTTAAATACAAAACAAAATAACCTAAAAACTTTTTTGACAGCTGAATGTCAAACGATGATTTCCGGTTCTTTTCACACAGACCTGTCACTTTTCACACAGAAATGTCACTTTACATTCGTGTTTTGCCTTGACAATGAAAAGATTCATTTTCTAAGCAACGATGCCATCATGAAAAGTGACTTTTACATAGTGGTCGTAGAAAAAAACATTTGTTTTCGCATTCTAAATATGGATTAATATCACTTACCTGTTGTTGGTAAACATGGTGGTCTGGTCTTGGACCACGGTAAATTCAAACTCGTCGCCCACCTGCACCTCGCGGTCCACGTCCAGGATCTCGTTGAAGTGAAAAAAGAGACGCGGTTCGCGCTCTACGCACTTTAGGAAACCAAAACCTTCTTTAACGGAGGCGACAGTGCCTTGTTCGCGCTTCTCGCCCGACACCAGGAAGCTTTCGTCGAGCAGAGAGATGTGAGTGGCGCGGTTTAAACCGTCTCTGCAACAGCGAAAACTTATTGTACTATTTGACTAAAACCTATTTAAATAACGGATATGGGTGAGAATTCGTGAAACGAATCACTTTTTTGCCGACTTTATAGAATAGCGAAAACAATTGTTGGTATTTGTAGTACTAAATGTAAAATAAAAAACATTACAAGTTATTACAAAAAGTTTTGAAATTTCACCCTAAATACAAATTATTTAAAACTTATCAAATTTTAAACTCCTGTAATTGTTTATATTTTTTTTAATATTTTAGTAGCATTGAGTACCGAGTAGAAATTTGACAAGTTAGCCCATGATTTTCGACGTTCTCAATCTACTAAGTAGTAGAAAGTTACATTTTTTTTTAGAGGTTACATACATTTGTGCTGGGTCCAAAAATCGATTTTTTGTTTATTAAATATTCTTACAACATATACTTTTAAGAATATGTACACAAAATTTCATTAAAATCGGAGCACTAGAAATTATGTTATAGCAATTTATAGCGCGCCACGAAAATTTAAGGGCAAATTGAATGAACTTAAACGCGTTTATCTCGGAATCGTACTTTTTGAAAAGTGCCGTTGTCGTGAAAACGATTTCTCGGGATTTTAATTTGGACGAAAATTTCAATTTTTTTCGGCCGGAAAACTTGTACCCTCAAATTTGTTTTGGTAAAATCACCGCCATTTGCGTGAATATTGTTTTTTTTTGCAAGATCGGTTGGGCGGTTTTCGATATTTCATGCTCACCGCAAACGCTTGAAAAAAAAGGCGTTTCGGGGCAAGGGTCGTATTTTCCACAATTTTCCATATTTTTGCATACATTTTTTTTACAAATACTTTGAAACATACCCTATTCGATGCTTAATAGTTTGTTTAACAATAATTATTAATACATACCAAAAAATATCACCAAAATCCGTTAATTTTTTCGTGCTCATATGTACAGTTGTATTCAATAAAAAAGCGTACAAGAATTAGAATGAGAGAAAACTGTCAAAATAATATTATTGCTTAAAACCGGCTTATCACTGACATAAGTCATTAAAATAATTACTATAGGTTATAAAGAGCATTGACGTCGTAGGTTAATTAAATAATATTACAAAAATTATTAATTTTTAATATAGATTTTTTATTTCTATTATACCACGGTACGAATTGACCATTCTTCTTCGATTCTTGATACTATTTGAGCCTTTTTAACTGACGAGGCATTTTTATTTTCTACTGTCAGTTATAGTGACTTAAGTCAGTGGAAAGCCGGTTTTACGCAATAATGTTGACAGTTTTCTCTCATTCTAATTCTTGTACGCTTTTTTAATGAATACAACTGTATGTAACCCCTTAAACTTTATTCGTTTTCACAATGTATGATTAAAAAAACTAGCATTTGATTTAAAAAATAAATGCAATTAAGAATAAAATTTCAAAAACCATTTTTTTTTTGCCTACTTTTTTCTTTTTTAATAAAAAAATGCTAATTTGGCCCTGTTCTCCCTAGGAAAATTGAAAAAAATAATAGGTGAAAGAAGCTCTGAAAGCTTAAGATTAAGGAACCGTTTAAAAAAATTTTGTGATCACTCCTTTGGTCAATGATAAATAATATTGTTCAGCACCGCGCCACGTTGACAGGCGACCGTTTAAGCGCATCTTTGCGTACGAAATATTTAATTAAATGCCGTTTACTTAACAAAAAAATATTGAAAATGTCTTTAAACTTTATTCTTACTTTTCTTTCTTTTATTCTTACATTTTTAACCAAAACTGTGTTTTTACATTGATCCACTCTAGTGACTCGAACACCATTACTTTTTTCCATTATCAATTTTGCGCTATCAAAATTGTTTTACCAAACAATCTTATCGAAAAGCGACACTATTTTAATGCACGTTTTAAGCCAAACTATTTTAATACATTTTAAATACCTATTGCATTAATTTTTTATTATCTATAGGTTTGTAGCAATATAAGGTATTTATTTCTATTGTTATCAAAACATGTCCTCTCTTGAATATTATGTTTTTGCATCAATTATAATTATTAATAAAAAAACTTTTTAATGTTTTAAAAATAAATAATATTGGATTATACCTTTTTCTTTCCAGTTTCTTCAATTTTGTTGATAAAAAACTACCAGAAATATATGTCTCAAGCATTTGCTAAAAAATACTGTATAGTTCCACAAACTCACGACGCGGGCTCGGTTCATTTATTTAATTCAAGAGTAATTGAAAACAAAAATTTGGGGATCAAAATATAAAAAAAAAATTAGTTTTTCAATGGGGTTGCATCGCAGTATAAAAATAAATTTAATTTTAATTTTTATTTTAAAACATCAAGATTTTGGGATTACTGCTCAGTGAAATTTTTTTGCGACCTCTTACGAAAAAGTGGTTTGTGACGGTATCGGAGGGCCTGTTAAAAAGCGACAACAATAAAAATTACCGGACAATACCATTGCTATAAACCTAAAGATGATAAAAAAAATTGTGTAGACTTGTCTCGATTGACACAGTTTTTGTAAAAAATGTAATTACAGGAAAAAATAAGTTTACAGCTTTAGGTTTATCTTCATTCTGACGTGTTCCTGTTAATTTTGCAATTTTTAAGTAATAAATCTATTTAATTCTTTTTTATTTTGTAAAAATAAAACATTTGCAATTGTTATTTTAAACTTTTATGTTAATTAAGAGGTTAATAATGAACAGCAGAGTTTTGAAAATTTTATTATTAATTGCATTTATTTTTTTCCCTTCTCACAAATTTTCATTTTTTATAAATAGTTTACAAGACAATAATTTTTATATCGAATGCTAAAATTTTTTTTAATCAAACATTGTAAATAATTTATTTGTTTATTTAAAATAAACGAATGAAGGTTTTTCAAAACATTTTTTGTGCTAACTTTCTACTACTTAGTAGATTATGATTTAGTATTTATTTTTAATTTTCATTAGGTCGAAAATTATGGGATCACCTGGCAAATTTCTACTCTACTATAAAAATCAATAAATATTTTCTAGATTCTATGAAGCCGGGAAAATAGTGATCTGTTTTACGAATTCTCACCCATATATAAACAAGCAAATTATAAAAAATCTTAGAAAAGGCAGCTTTGATCCAGTGCAATATTAATGGGTAAATTAAATATAAAAAAATCCTAAATTGTGGTAGCTTTTGAGTGTTTTTTATTCCATGCTACACCAATTAATTTTGTCTTGACTGATTTTTGGTCATACGAAATTTTCGACTTGCACAGTGTAATAAATATGTGGTGTTACCTTCTATCAGTAGCAATCTTAAATTGTACCCAATCTCCGTGCCTGAGAGTGAAGTCCCCCCGTTGATCCTTGTCCCCAAAGGAGATCTCCACCTCGGAATGGTCGGGCGCGCGGTAGCGAATCCTGCCGGGCAACGCGTCAGTCTGGTGGCGCGCAGAAGGACCGCGATCAAGCGGCTTCAGCACTTGACCCTTCAAAATCTCCGGCTTCAGGTCCTCGAAGATTACCGTCCCAGGCGCCAAACGCGTTATATTGCAAGCCACCTGTCAACGGACGATAAACAATTTTAAAGCCATCCCAAGCAGCAATTTGTGCCCGAACTTGGGCACGACACTTTTTGTTTCCAAATTGTTTCGACACAAATCGGAAAACTTATGTCTAAATGGAAACTGTGTCCATTCTTCAAATTTGTGGTTGCTTTGGGTCAACACCTTTTAAACCAATTGTGTCCAAAAAAAGTATGGGTCTAAGTAGCATTATTTCAGAAATATGTCCAAGGGGACACATTCGCCATATTTTTTTGTTGAAACAGATTCGACGCTTTAAGAAAAAATGACACAATGTGAATTTTTTTTACATAATTTAACTTTCTGGTGAAATTTTAACTTAAAATTTAAAAAATGCAATGTTTTAAGGTACATAGAAGGCACATACGTCTAGTTTTGATAAAAATATAGAAAAAAAATATTTTTAATCAAAAAAATTATAAATACTTATTATTTGTGAGGCCCTATCAATTTTTAAAAGTATTTTGCTTATAACCACTAATAAAATTTTGTTCGCAATAAAAATGAAGGTAACATATACCAAAAATGTTAGATTTCATTAAATCTTAAGTTATAATGTATTTCATTATATACATAATTATTAATAAGACATCACGCCTTACTTTGCCTCTTTGTATCTATTTTGTTTCCAATTCGTTTCCAATTAAAAATAGTTAGTGTCCATTTGGGTTTATTTTAGGACACAATACAGTACTTTGGCAACAATTCGGAACAAATGGTGACCATTTGGTAACATACAAATTAGAAACTCTTTGGGCATAAATCGGTCACACTACCGGGCACATGGTGGGCAAATTTTAAGAAAAAATCGGGCACATGTTGTGGGCAAACTATGGACACTTTTTGGTACAACTTTCATCACCACTTTGGTCTCATTTTCCACACTTAGTGGTCTTAAAGTGGACTTTGTGTCTTTAAAATGTGTCGTGTCCAAAATCATGTTTCGACGCTGTGTCGACACATTGCCCAAAATGTGTCAATGAGGTTGGGACATGATATCAGTGTAAAAAATAACCATGGCGTTAAAAAATGATTTTTTCTATCAATTGTCGTGTCTTTTCATGCATTTGTATCGCCACGATTCGGAACGTCGTGTCAAAAACGGTCAAAATTGACACCTCCCCGAAGGGTCATGTGACAAATAATTGAAATCCCCTACCCCCAAAAAATATTTTTTCGGTTCTTTTTTGTAATATTCTGAATAAAAATGGAACAAATCAGCAATTTAATTATATTAACTTTGTCACGTGACGTTTTAAAACCCTTCCCCCTCGGGCGTGACAAATCGTGACGGTCCATCAAACAATCCCTCCCACTCCCTCCAGTCCAATTGATCTTTGTGTTTTTTTATGCTCGATTTTTTAAGTCACAACGCCCCGCCGCCACTGCTAACCAATGCTTTGTACCCATGACTGCATTAACAAAAATGAACTGCCAGAATTTACCGTGAATGAAAAGAACGAGGTCTGTGGGGGCTTAATAACACTAGTGGTAAATTTTACCGATAAAATTTTTTAAGTTTTTTGCTTGAAAATGTCGCAAGTGGCAGTAATTTTTGGTTGGTTTTAAATGAATGCCACGAGCAAAATTGCTAAAGGTTTGGTTAGGGAAAGGGAAGTTGCTTTTATACTTAATGCATAAATAGCGATAGGTACCAAATTGCAAAAACAGAATTTATTTTACATTTTATTACATTACATTTAAAAATAGCATATTATGTATCAAGTTTTATAAACTCCATTTTAGTTACTAGTTTAATTAAACACGAGAAAACGAGTGTCTAGGGAAGTTTATAAACGAGTTGCATACAAAACTTTATCTATGACGAACAAAATTTAAGGCCAATTTTATTTGTTAAAAATTTGAGATCTGTCAACGGTCACCAAGATTTAACCCCAATTTTTAATAAAGCTAACTTTAGCCCATGATTAAAAAGCCCAAAGGCCAATATTGCTAAGTTCAGCCTGTGACTAAAAGGGCCTAAAGTCACACCTCATCAATAGAGAAGTAGGCAATTTTTTAACTGATTTTATAATTATTTTAATAAAAAAGGCACTCTATAGATATATATTTTAACCCAAAAACGTGAAATAAAAAACATAATAAATAGGTTTTAATCGCAACGTTGCGAGTTGTTAGTAGTTGGTTTCTATTGTAACGCTTTTCGCTTTTGACAGTAGCAGCGACAGTGACAGTGACATTTCTATATGCAGTGTTATTTAAAATCTATAAATGAGTTGTAAAAACGAAAGAAGTCCACTGCAAAAAGATATATAAAAAAGTGATGGGGAAATAAAGCATCAGAAAACATGCAGTATGTTGAATGCAGCGGAAGTCTAAAGAGAAGAGCAGTAAACAAAGATAAGAAACCATAGAAAGTAGGATTGTCTAATTAATTTAAAAAAATAAACTTGTAATAAATAACTTAATACAATTGTGTTTTTTCCGACTGTATAGATTATTTAATTAACGCATATTTTTTTTCGGAAATGTCTAGGTACTAGAATTTTTTCAACATTAGCGACTTATTAGTTGCCCGAAATTACTTAACACCATCAATATTATTTATTTAAGCATAAAAGTGGAATAACCACCCATTTTTTTGAAATCTAATTGGTTCATAAAGTAATAAGTAAAAAGTCTTTAAAATGACTTTGAAATTCGATGATTTCTCCTAGTAGCGTGACGTGAACGGATTAATTATGTAGTTAAATATCCAACATCTGGTTCTATGTTCTAAGTATTTAAATCGTTTAAAAATCACGTTAAAGTACACAATAGAGTTTAAATTTAAAACATAATTTTAAGAACTTGATAATAAAATTCGCAGTTAATGGTTTTCTAATAGGTAAAAAGGTTTGAATTGTCAACGAAATTGGTTATGCTTGTATTTTTTTGCATATACTTTATTTAAAAGTATTAACACAACTATTACTCGTCACAATCTCTCTCTAAGGTCATTGAATGCTTTTGAAACTCGGCATTTTAAAAACGCTGCAGCGTTCTAAAAGATTGTTTAAAAAAGTAGAAAAACAAATTAATGACAAACTCGTAAAAGTAGATTTCAAATATGCAATAAAAACATTACAAGATTAAGTACGACCATTAAATTGTATGGCATAAACTTGTTAGGATTAAATGTTGGGTTACTTTACCTCTTTTCCGTTGCGCGTCTGAATGATAAACTCTACGTCGTCGCCCAATCGCAGCTCCTCTTTGGTTTTGGCCTCGGAAAAATGGAAGAAAATCTCCTTGACGACATCGGCGCGTTCGATGAAACCGAAACTTTCTTTCATCGAGCACACGACGCCCGCGTATTTCACCGGGTGCGCCGGATTTTCCAGGCGCACGTGGCATGCTCCCAAATTTCCTCTACGAAAACGGAACAAACATTATTTAGTTTAAAATCCGATTTTAAACCGTTTATTTACCTGTTGTTTGTCGCAATTTGAAAGCTGACTTTATCTCCGGAGCGCAGCGTTACGTTTCCCTCGACGTCGTCTTTGGTGTAGGGCAGAAAAAAACATTCGCCGCGATTTTCGTAGCTTATCCTTCCGGTGGTGTCGCCTCCCACAGATCCTTCGCCTCTAACTTCCGTCGTTACCGTTCCCGTTACCCTTTCCTCGCTCATTACCTGAACAAACCAATTAATGAATTTTCGTAACAATAAAAAAATGGATTTTATTATTCAACTAATAAGGTAGTTGGTGCCTGACAGTCGGAGCAAAAAATAACGTAGAGAGAATTTAAATAGTTAATTGTAATTCATCAACCCAGTTTTTTTTTGCTGTTTATGAACTATGCACCACACCCAAAATTTCCACTTTAACATTTAAATACATATAATTGAGTTTACCTATCTGTCAGTTTAGCCATAATTTTTTGAAAATAATAAAATATTTTTGTGTATAAAAGTCTTAATTTAGAAGAAAAAAATACATAAATTGTAATTTTTTAGAAAATAAGACGAAATTAACGCTAAACTGTCAGATAGATAACCTTAATTATTTGCATTTAAATGTAACCATTGGGTGTGGAGTTTAGTACTTGACCTAGCCAATCCCGTAAGTCAAGTTATTAAGTGAGCCTGCTGCAAAAACTAACTTAAAATTTAAAGTTTTTCAGAAATTAAGTCTAAAGTTGCAAGGTTTGTACAAAATCAGGTTTTTATTTTCGGTAAACACTGTTTAAACTCAAATTTTCGTCTCTGTTATTACTAAATCTGTCAATACAATTTTAGTAGTAGAGTCCTATTTTTCAAAATTATTAAAATAATAACCCGTAAAAATTGTGTGCAGTTAAAGCACCAAAACCCTTAATTCAAAATAAATCTATTAAAAAAACTTTTTTTTATAAATGTTGTTATATTTTATAATTGCTTAAATTGTTTAAAGAACATAAATAATGTATTATCCAATAAGATGCATTCCACCTAAAAAAGTTGCCAACTCGGTTTTTGATGAAATCTTGTAAAATCATTGGACTATCCAACTACATAATCTGTGTAAAAGGAAAGTCAGTAAGTATGACTTGTTGCAGAGTTACAGGGGCTCAAGGTTTAAACTTTTTTCATTTTATTTAAATTTTAACACTAACCAAAAGTTATCGATTTTAATCGATAAGGAATGATTCATAATAGTATTTTTACATGTTTTGCGATAAAAATAATTTCAACTTTGGGACAAAGTTAGCTACAATACTATTTATACTTTTTTTTAGAACGCATTTCAAGAAAAGCGCGTTTTAGTGTTCTTTAAGCATTTTTTCATAATTTAAATATTTCCGTCCCACTCCTAAAATTTATTTATCCTATGGAAAAAAATTAAGCTTTCTCCCTAGCTAACTTTCAATTATTTTTATCGTAAGTACGAAAAAAATGCTTTAACAATAATTATTTGTCGATTCAAATTGATCACTTTTGATTGGCGTTAAATGAAAATCAATGAACATGAAAAAAGTTAAAACTTTGAGCCCCTGTAACCGTCTTACTTACCGACCACCATTTTACATAGGATATCCAAGTTCCAACTTTTTAAGTGGGAACACTTTGGCTGGAAGGCCTTATAGGGGTCAATATTTCCCAAGTGTACCACAAAAAAAAATGATTACTTTTATAATCTTTTTAAATTTTACTAAAATATAGTACTTGTTATTAACTACTAATCCTGCAAAGGATTTTGCTTCATAACCTCTGGTTATCAAAATTTATAGTTTTCCTTTAAAGAACTTAAAAAAAAATATTTTAAATATAACATTTTTAATTTAATAAATATATGCATTTTTTTTTAAATTGCAAAATTAAAAGATTTTTATTAATTAAAAAAATAAACTGCTTCATTGAAAACAATGAAAAAAGAGGTAAAAATCAATTTTTTAAATATTTAATTTTAAAAATTGAACCCCTAATGAAGTAAAATCCTTTACAGGAGTAATAGTTAATAACTAGTTGCAACATGTATCCTTCCATGTGTATAATTGAGTATTTTTGTATTGAAAAAGCCAAAAGGTCTGTTGAATTAGAAAAAAGTTGCGGAATTACAATCTAATTTTCATCCAATTTTTTCTACTATATTTTAATTTACCATTAGTATCGTTTATTTTAATAGCCATAACTTATGTAGTTTGATACATCATTGGATTCCTTGATTTTTTTCTATCTAACCATGTAAAATTCCAATATGGCGGCCATAGGGTAAACAAAAGATGGTGGTGTTAACTCAAAATCAGGTAGACGAAAAAAATCATAAATTGAATAAAAATGGAGATAAATGTGAATGTGTATCAACATTCCCAGAATTAACAAAGTTATAAAGATTTTTAGTTTTGACAGATTTACAGTTTTTTTAAATTATTTAAGAACCGCTAATTTTTTCCCAATTTTTAAATTCCATTTTGTAAATACGCAACTTTTGGAATATTTTACCAAAGTTGTAAATCTTCAAATAAAAGATACCCATACACAGAAGAATACTTGGTGCACCCTGTATAGTACTATAATTTAGTAAAAATAGTAAAACAATTTGGTGATGCACTTTTGACCCAAATACAAATAATCCTATCAGATAATTGTCAGGATGGATTTGTATTGATTAAAATATTAAAATGAACTATTACATAAAAATTCAAATTAATTAACGTGTTGTTTAATAGTATTTAATAAATATTAATAAATATAATTGTAAATGTAATTTTACTACATTATATTTAGGGAACGGTAGGTAAGTTTTGCAAAGGCAAATACAATACGAAAATTTCCAAAATGCTCTGAAACAAAGGGTAAATAATTTTAGCATATTCCATCGTTCATTTTACAAAGTTTCGTACCTATGTCATTTTTTATTATTTTTCAGGATGGAGGTTTAATTTGTATATAAGGTCACAGTTTTTGATCCATCTCAAAATATGATTTTTTTCAGATACGACTGTAAAATTGACGAAAAATTGAGATAGGTGCGACACTTTGTGAAATTAACGACGATTTGTGATATTAATTAATAATGATAAATGTTAATATAAGTAAGTTCAATATTAACCAAAATTAAAATTCTAATTCAACAAGAATCAAGTAACAATTCAAAATGTTGACATTTTGTTACCAACAGATTTTTTGATTAGTTAACTTTTGATAAGGCTATTTTGACTCACCCTTAATAAAAAAAATACCTTAAAATTGTTACTGAACTCTACAAAATATAAAAACACACTATTTACATTGAAATTGTTGGCTAGATGACTAATACATTGCTGATAATGATTATTATTTATCTTGCTTATTTTATTGGTGACATTTGAATTAAACTAGTAAATAATTTTTTTTATATTCTACTGAAATTTGAGTTATTTAAAATTCATTTTAGGTATGCAATTAAAAATACATAGTATATTTAGTTGCCCTAATCCTTTTTTTAGGTTAAAAAAAAGCGAAAGTATTTTGGATTGGTTACTTACTACTTCTGGTGCAATTTTTGTTACAGAACTGGCGATCGGTTTGCCGGTTCTCCTATCGTAGGTCATTTCAAACTCGACCGGATCGCCGATTTTCAAATGTTCAATATTGCCGCTGAACTGGCTAAAATGGAAAAATAGACGTGCCTGACGCTCGCAACATTGTATGAACCCATATGAATGCTGAAAAATACCGATTTTGAAAATATAAAAGTAATGTCTTTCTATATACTAAAACAACTATTTTTTTATTATTGCGCTTAAAAAATATATGTATAAAATTGAAATTTGTATTGTTGTTTTAATATAAAGCATAACACAACAGTTACTTACAAAAATAAAGGATGTTTAACCTGTTAAAATAATAATATTTGACACCTGTCATTTTAAAAAATTTTGTTTCCATTGGAAACAAATCCTATTTAAAAACATTAAAATAAGTTAAGTATCTATTATTAGTTTTTTTATAATTAGAAGCACTTGGTTGTTTACAGCGAATATTTGCAAATAAGTAATTTTGTATTTATTTCTGTTCTAATTATGTAGATAAGAGCACAAATATTTACAATGAATGATAAAAATACAACCAAAAACCTCAAGCACAAATTTATAAATGTTAAAATTTATAACCTATTAAATTAAAGAAAATTAAAAACTACGGATAAGCCCCATTTTAAATAGAAATAAGGCAATTACAAAAACAAATTAATTTGTATATTTTATATGAAGAAATGTTTGATTATAAAATTTATATAATTTATTGTTGTTAACAATTTGTGTATGTTTATTACACACAAGGTATAATAATTTGATAATTATTTTTTGGTTACTTATGGGGGAATCTAATTACACGTAATTTGAAGTATACAGGGTGTCCCAGAGAATTGTTATTTATTATTGTTCTACCATTATTATTATTATTATTATTATTATATAGATTAGGTCTAATGTATAGAATGTTAAACCAATGGTTTCATCTTATGAAAAATTGCATTTTAGCATTTAACTATAGTTATATAATATATTATTATATTATAACAATACGTATGCGTTTGGCAACATGATAGGCAACAATTGATTATCACAAATATTAATTGGTTGATTAATTGTTACCTGTTGACATCACACAATCACAGATAGAAAAAGATTGACAGTAAAATTAGATTTTGTCATAGCATTTCTTTTAATTATTGATATGTATATCTTTAGTAAGTAGTACTCACGGAGTAACAAAAAATTTAGCCTGTGTAATGTTAATATTTCGTCACCCTAATATAACAAGGTTGTATGTTAAAAAACCGAAAAATTTGAGTTTATGCTTCTACAAGGTTTTTGTAATCCACCCTTGACATACAACTTGAAAATAACTCTATAAATATATATGTATACATAGAATATACATTCTATATAATTATTTTTAAGTGGTATGTGAAGCGTAGGCCACGTATAATCCTGTAGAAACATAGACTTAAATTTTTCGTTTTTTTAACATACAACCTTGTTATATTAGGGTGACGTTTGTTTAGTTTTTCTTCAGATTTAAACTGTGGTTTTATTAGTTCCTGACAGGGACTCCCTTTATTTGCTTCTGTCAAGTCTGACTTAAAATAAATAAACGAATAAGACACTTTTTAATATTGTTATTTGTTGCCATGATGATTAGAAATAAATCAACCAATACTATAGTCGCGGCCAAATCTGCATGAGTGCACGTCATCAATGGCGAATGACGTCAGGGTTAAGGCCTATTCATACGTGCCCAGGCACAATCTAACGCTAACACTAACGTGTATTGTTGACCGTTAATAGCAGAAGTTAATTCAGACTTGGAGTCTGATTATTTCTCCAAATTTATTATTAAGGGCGCAATGTCTTCGTAATCTTATAACATTGTTTTTACAATCCAGTGGAAAAATATGTTAAACACAATGTATAAAATTATTTATAATAATCTGCAACAAACAATGCTTGCGGACGAAATGTCAAAATTACAAAAACACTTCAAATATAAAATGGCACATTAAAAATATTTTATTTCCACCTTCTTAGTAAATTACATTTTATAGGTTAATTTTGAGGTTTTTGTAACCAAGTAGAAAAGCAATTTATGAAATGAAATGTCACATTTGACATATTAATTAAAACTTTAAATTTGAAAATCGTTATCTAAAGGTGAAATTAAAAGTTTGTACGTGTCACGCTTTGCAATTAATCTTTACTAGGCTCACTGGAATATGGGGTTTGCTCCTGCGTCGCTCACCCCACAAACTTCCAGCTCGCCCGTAAAGATTCATTTACAAAGCTTGACACGTAAATAACTATTACGTTGCGCGCCAGCCTTAAGCTAATAGCAACTGGCGCACACAAAAATTACTAAGTAAATGGTTTTATTTTCATAATTTTGTAAAAAAATGTTTTAAAACAGGAAAATTGTTACAGTTCTTGGTAAACAATACGATATTTTTTTATAACACATCAGAATTACGCCTCAAACAAGCAAAGTTGATAATGCTGACGTCATTATATCGCACTGATGACGTGCACTCTGCAGATTTGGCCGCGACTATATCTTTATAAAATACGAAGGTAGATTTTTTTAACAATTTTCTGCGATTGCTGGGTCCATAGATCATACACCTTTAAGATGGTGCGAGAGTTCTGGGACATGTATATTAACTTTTTGGCTGGTAACTTTAGGTAAATACATTTTAGTAAATATCGGTAAATATAAAGCCCCAGCGGTAAAGGAATATTTTAAATTTAAAGTTTAAACAATTTAAATTATAAACGTTTTACAATGAATCCATTACAAGAAAGTATTTAAAAAAATTTAAGTAAGATATGGCTTGGAAAACGTATGTACTAGTTTACTCTAAACTTAAAATTTAACGTCAAACGACAGAATAATGCTTTGCCACACATTTTAAACTAATATTAGAAATATTCCCCAACTCCAAAACAAAACACAAAGTGCTTAAGCTTAAGTTTTGTTTTGGCATTGGGGAATATTTCTTATATTTGTTTAACATATCACCAAAGTTGTTCTTTTTTAAGTGCCATACATTTTGATAAAAATAGCATTATTGCATATTGCTTTGGGATTAATTTAAATAATTATGTAAATAAACAAACAAAACACTGGATTTAAAATAGTGTCTTGTCAAATAAAAATACTGTAAAGTAGATAAGGATGAGCACTTTTAATAATGCTCATAAATTCTTAAAAGGCGCTCAAGAGCTTTTAAAAGTGACGATATTTGAAAATACCGCGAGCGATTTTAAAAAGCCCTTGACATTTTTTACCATATTAATATTTTTAAGCATTTATGGATGCTTTTAAAAGTGTTTAAGCATCTGCCATCTCTAATGTAAAGTTAAAAAATACCGGTGAAGCCAATTATACTTACTATGGTTCAATTTGTTTAGAAATAAACAAGATTGTATTAAATAAATATATATTTTTATATTGCAGTAGTAATACAGTGGTGGACATGGAATTTGGAACACCAGAAGTTGGTTGTCCTTGCGTGATTCTCTAAATAGAAGATACAATAATCCTTATTTCAATGACCATTTTTGCTTTTGCTGACAAAATGACAAGAATAGTGATTACCTGAAGTACCTGTTATTTGCTGTATGATAGTTGTTCAAAATTCCGTGTCCCCCATTGAACTTAATAATTGTAATAAATTACATAATAAAAGCTTTAATTCTAATTATATTTATTACATGTTTATAAGGGATAATTATTTAATGATCTGCAAAATACATTTTTGTTGACCTTTCAAAGCACGTTTTAAGATATTTTAAAGCACTTTTTTTCGGAAGCACATTTCTTTTAAACCGCCTGTTTCAAATCAATGTTAATGCTTTTTTTCCGCCTTTGAAGCAATTTTGATTATAAAGTTTGTTTCATAATATAATATAACAAAATTAAAGCATATTTATACTTTAGGAATATGACCATTCTTAAGGATAAATGAACCTCATGTAGGTATTGGTATATTTTTAATGAAATAAAATATATAATTTGCCTCTAGATTTTATTTCACTATATATATTCTTCAAGAGGGATAAAATATAAAAAAAGTGATGTGATTATGAATCACCATACGTTATATTGCAATCATAACATTATAACTTTTTTTTAGATTTTTTCCTTTTGATGAATATATGCAATGAAACAAAATTCAAAGGAAAATTATAGTTTTATTTCATTAAATTCCGTAAATCAATTTTATCGTAGTAAAGTACAAAGCAGAGTGGGGCAAATTGTATTCGATTATGATTATGATTATTATTTATGAAATGTAATCATTAATAATGATTACAACAAAGTAATCATAAATCATTCTAACATGAATAACGAATATTATTTATTATTTACGTTTTGAGTGGTTATAAATACTGAAATCGTCAATTATCGGAAAGAATAATGATTAATAATTGTAGTCATTGTATATGATTAATCCAGGCGAAATTATATAACAACGAGTGAATGAATTTTCTTAGTTACATTGTTCTCACTTTAAATTCCTTAAGGTAGTTGTCGTGGTACAATATTGTCAAAAATTTTTTAGATTATACGCACCGTAAAAGCAATGGTAAAAGTATACGAGCTTGTAGCTAAATGATTCATAATTTGTTCGCAAGACTGTACCCTGGAGACGTTATCTTTACGTAATACTTTCAAATATTTTCATAAGTTTTAATCCGGCAACGTCGCTTATGCTCAACCAATAGCTATATTGGAGACTAAATCAGTCATTTGAATTTACTACGGAAATAATATCTATACTCGCGTACAGCGTTGCCAAGTTGTTTTTATCTGACACTAGTGATGTATACTTTTTACAAATTGTTGAACTTTAAACGGTTATTTATAAACAATTGGACGGTCAAAAATTTTTAAATATTTTTTTTTAAACTCAGCAAAAATACATTAAAACACTGTTAGTTTTTTGAAAGCTTCTGACAGTTAGTTTTTTCTGTATAACTAAGAAACTGGTACAGAACTACAGAAAGCCTATACAATCCATGTTAATTATCCAATTTTTTATTGAATTTATCTCGGGTTATAGACGGTCAATCGACTTCAAATTTTAAGGATATATGTATTGTCATGTCCTTAATAAGTATACAAAAATTTAAAATTTTCTGATGGTATGCTTATAGCACGACAACTACCTTAAGCAAGGATTAAAGACACCAGTGTTATTTCTAGATATTATTTTTTTTTTTAATTATACATATTATTATAATTATAATATATAGTCCTTTTAATTGGCATTTTAGTTTAATATTTTGTCGAATTTCGATCAAAAATTGTGCGTTTTTCTTGCAAGCACGATGGGGTGTATATTTCGTAAGCTAGGCATGGTTTTTTTAAATAACTTTTAAAAAATTTTTTCTAACGATCAGAAAATAAAAAATATTTCAATTTTTTTTACAAAATATGGTATTTTGTTAAAATTAAAATTTTATCAATAAAATGTGTGTTTTGTGGATTATTTACCAAAGTAATTATACAGAATGATTATAATTACATAATTTATTCTTTAATTCTGATTATGAATATTAATTATAATCATACTTTCATAAATAACGTTATTCATGATTACAACGTAAAATTTGATTATAAATAATGAATATTATTCAAGTAAAGTATTCATGAATAATGACTACATAAATAATCATTAATCACCAAAATAATTACTATTTATATTCATGATTACAATTTTATTCGATTACTGCCCTACTCTGGTACAAAGTAAAGGCGCAACTTTAAAAATTTAAAACGTTATACTAAAACACGCTGTTAAGGGTTTTATAACAAGTAAAAAGGTGTAAACCGTCAACGAAATTGATTATGTTCGTATTTTTAGGAAGCCCACATACTACACCTACATGGCTAGATATTTCTCTTGCAAAATCTACCCTCTGGAATGACTAAATACTAATATGTAAAAATTAATTCACACAAAAAGGCGCACATGCTAAATGTCGCTAAAAACATTCGTTTGTAAATTTCAGTGCATGTTTAAAAATATTTTTATGTGTGGTAATTTTTACTTAAAATCCAAACTATTTTAGCATTGTGATAATAAAACTCACCAACAATTTCTCAATGATGCCGGTTTCGCGGGTGCCCAGATTCGACGCGTTGGAGTCGTTGTACGCGCTGCTGCCGGTTGACGCGCTGTTGCCGTTCGAGAAAACGCCGACCCCACCGCCGCCGCTGTCGCGATTTCCCCGTTCGCTCCTCTCCTGGCCGCCGCTGCCGCCTCTTTCGTTGTTATCGCGCGAATTGTTCAGGGAGTTGTTGTCGCCGCTGCTATTGAACATGTTGTCGATGCTGAACGTGCCTACCAAGCAACATAAATGTTATATTTTAATGTAACTAGTTTTATTTAAAAATATGTAATGTTCATCAAAGTACTAGTAACCTTTTGGTTACAGGGTGCCCAGAAAATGGAGCACTAACGCAACGCTGTAGGGGGATTATTTTAAGTCTAAATACTTAAAACACATTTTAATATTTTTTTTTGAGTTATACGGGTTTAAACATTTTATTTTATTTTCTTCAATCAGTTTTTATTTGTAGAAAATAGTTATTTACCTAACTATTGCCGTTAAATTAAATTAAAATTAATTAAAAATATTTTTTGTTGCTACTTTTCGCACGCATATACTTTCCGCACTCTCGAGCGGAAAGTCAGCGAGCGGAAAAATGCAACTTTACGCACGCTATTGAATAAATAATATTGAAGGGGTTAATGAATAAAGGTGTTGTAACTTACATGCTAGTGTTATGCAAAAAGGCGGTAACTAAGTAAATAACTAATTTTTAGGGAGGCCGTTGGGGAAGACACTAACACACTATTAATTGTATTTAAATGGTATATTTTAAATGGATTTCTAATATTTTTACATAATACGAAAAAACGATGTGTCCGACTTATTCGAACCACACCATCATCATTGCCAACATAATAATAATTCCCTGTTCGTTACCAACGCACAAACCTAACAAACCTAATGTCCCTAAATCTGGTGACATTCTCCAGAAATTGCCTACAGTTCGGCCGTCCTGACCTATTGGTCGACCCTTGACCAATCATAATAAAAAAGTAGTTTTAAACATAATACTGATACATAATGACATAATACTTAACATAATACTTGACATAATACAAAACTATTATCTTAATTAAACCTAGCTCACAAGACAATAATAACTAATTAACCTAAGAACTAATACTATTAATTAATAATATCTACAAATACAGTTTCATCTGATCCGGCCCTACCACAGTAGTGAAGGGCTTTTGAGAAACCTCAAAACCGGGTATATCGGTGACGACATAGCGGTCATGATCTAAAACTTTTGAAACTAAGAATGGCCCCTTAAACTTGGGCAAAAGCTTTTTGTTGACACCGGGTGTCGTGTCGTGGTTGCGAATCATAACGAAATCACCCTCAATGTACTTACTCGGCGGCTTGCGTTTTTTATTATAATAATCAGCGTTCTCCTGTTGTGTTTGAGAAATCTTTAATCCGGCATTTTCTCTTATCTCTTTAATGTCACGATTAACAGGATTAATTCTCTAGCACTAATTTACAAATATCATTAACGGTGCCCTGTTGATCTACACCAAATAAAACTCTCGAAGGTGTTTCATTAATCGAGCGACAAACAGTATTATTTAGTGAAAATTCTACAATTTGGATAACTTCATCCCATTTTTCGGGCGACTGACACGTTTTGGCGATCATAGGAGTAAGACAGCGATTGAATCGTTCAATTTGTCCGTTCGAACGGGGGGTTCCGGTTGCGATCAAAACCAAATCGATGACTTCCTCGTTATCAGCAGAGCTTGTTTTCCTTGTTTTAAATGAGAACTCAAGGATTTATTTAACTTTAGAAAAACTTTATTACTTGACAGACATATAATATATTTTTCATTACTGTCAAACATACATTATTGAAAACAACACTTAGTAACGATTGTTAACTATATAACATAAGATAAATGTCTACTAAATTGTTATTTTCAACACCCTTCCTCAATTTAGTATTCGCACAAATAAAAACAATATGTATTTTTTTTTATAAAACTCCAATTAGTTTCTTGATTCTTTCAAATTTTTCCCTTCCAAGTCCTTTTGTAAAAAGATCCGCTTCTTGATTGGCTGTTTCAATCCAAATAACGTCTATCAAGTTCTTGGCGTAAAGATCTTTAATAAAATTATACTTGATATCAACGTGCTTTAAACGTCGATGCTCCCATTTTTTTAAAGTACTTATACAAGATTGATTGTCTTCGTAGACAGAAATAGGCTCACAAATTTTTTCATTCAAATCCCTCATAACTTTTTGGATCCAGATTACTTCTGCGGTTGCGGTCGCCAAAGCTATATATTCAGCTTCGGTAGACGAAAGTGAAACACAGTTTTGCCTTTTTGTGCCCCAACTTACAGCATTTCCGTAAACTTTAATAAGATACCCAGAAGTCGATTTTCGGTCCTTGTCGCTTCCCCAGTCTGCATCCGCAAAACAAACCAATTTTTCTTGGCTTTTATGTCCCTTTTCGTAAACAAGACCGTGATTAAGAGTTCCCTTGATATATCTCAAAATTCTTTTGAGTCCTTTCCATAAAGCTTCGTTTTGGCAATTTTGGTGTCGACTAAAAAAATTGATTGCTGCACAAATATCTGGTCTGGTTCCACGCATTGCGTACATCAAGCAACCAATGAGTTCGCGGTATGGTTTGTCAAAGCTCGGGTCACCTTCTTCTGGAAAAATATCGAGTTTGAGTTCCAAGGGCGTTGCAACAGACTTGCACTCGAACATGTTAAATTTTTCCAATACGCTTTTTAAATACATTGATTGGTTCAAAAATAATTTTCCATTTTCCCTGCGAATTTGAATTCCCAAAAAATTTTCTGGTTCTCCAAAATCCTTCATCGGAAATTTCGATTTTAATTTGTTTTTCAGGTCCTCAACGACGTTTTTCTTTTCTCCAGCAATGAGTATATCGTCAACATAAAGCAAAAGATAAATCTCATTATCATTAGTGTCTCCAGTGTACAAGCATTTATCGACTTCTGACTGGGTTAATCCTAGGCCTTTTACAAATATATCAAAAACTTGATTCCACGCTCTCGGGGCTTGTTTCAAACCATATAATGTTTTAATTAGTCTGCAAACTTTACCTTCTCCCTCGTCAATTCCTTCAGGCAATTTCATATAAATTTCTTCGTCCAAGTTGCCCTGCAAAAAGGCATTTTTTACATCTAATTGATGCAAAACAAGATTTTTTTCGTTCACAATACTAAGCAACACTCTAAGAGTTTCCAATCTAGCAACAGGCGCGTATGTCTCCTCAAAATCAAAGCCTTTGACTTGCGAAAAACCTTTTACAACAAGTCTTGCTTTGTAGTTTTCTATTCCTCCATCCTTGTTTTTCTTTATTTTGAAGACCCATTTGTTGTTTAGTGGTTTCTTGCCTTTGGGCAATTCAACAAGTTTCCACGTGTTATTCCTTTTCAATGCATCAAGTTCCTCTTTAATGGCCTTTCTCCATTCTTCTTTGTCATCTCGATTTTCAATTTCCCCCATAGATTCAGGTACACCATCCACAAAACTCTCCACATTCAAGGCCAACACCGCATAATCGTCCTTCAAGTAAAAATCTTGCAGATTCGTAGGTAATTTTTTGTTTCGAACATTCCTTTTAGTTTCGGTAACCGAGTTATTGCTTGGTTTTTCATCATTTCCATTTTTTTCATGACTGAGTTCTTCTTCTCCAGAATACGGAGCAAAATCATCACACATAATATTTGTTTTTGTTTCCTCCAGTCGGTTTGCAGTCCAGTCTTCGCTGTACATTCCTTCTAATGTAAATTTGTTCTCCAGGAAAACAACGTCCCTTCCAAATACAATTTTTCCAAGCTCAGGGCACCAAAGGCGATATCCATTTGAACAATATCCAGTTAAGTAACATTTCAATGACCTTGAGTCAAGTTTACCTTCGGTCAACTCTTTAGGTTTGTGCAAGTAAGCAACACAACCAAAAACTCGCAGTTTTTTTAGGTTTGGAGTTCTACCATACCACAAAGCTGCAGGAACATTTCCGTTAAGTGCGACTGTCGAACTGCGATTAATCAGATAAACTGAAGTTCCAACTGCCTCGCTCCAAAATTCCTTTCCCAGACTGCATTCTAGTAGAAGACATCGAGCTTTTTCCATGATTGTGCGATTCATGCGTTCTGCAACACCATTTTGTTCCGGAGTATACCTAATAGTTAATTCGTACGTAATTCCATTTTCCTCAAAAAATGTTTTTAGTTGATTTGAACAGAATTCTCCTCCATTATCGCACCTGAAACGACTAATTTTTTCGCTAAACTTGCTTTTTACCATTTCAGCATACAATTTTATGCATCGAAAGACGTCTGATTTGCTTTTCATTGTATAACAAGCTGTAAAATGAGTATAATCATCAATTATGGTCAGCACATAATTCATTCCATCGTAAGATTCAGGTGAGATCGGTCCCATGACGTCACTATGTATCAATTCAAGGGGTCTTGTTGCTCTAATACGTGATTTATCGTGAGGCTGTTTTGTTTGTTTTCCTTCAATACAATTTCCACATTTTTCGCTAGGCGCTTGAGTTTCCTTAAATTTCATTCCTTCAACTTTCGGTTTCAGCTTCAAAACGTTGTCGTAGCTCATATGCCCCATTCTCTTATGCCACAATCCAATAGTTTCCGATAAGAAGCCCATTGTGTTTTCTGGTAAATTAAAAGTCAACACATAAAGTTTTGTATCATCACTCCTTGCAATCGATATTATTTTACCATCTTTAAAGATTCGCCCTTCATTATTTTCAAAAATTATTTTCAACCCATTTATCTCAAGTTTTCTCACTGACAGCAAATTATGCTCTAATCCAGTGACTGAAAGTATATTTCTGATTTTAATTTGAATTTTCTTACCATTTACAAAATTATATACGGTCAAATCTCCGACCTTTTCAGCTTGCATGAAGGCTCCCGATTTAGCAACCTTAATCTTGATGGGTTTTTCCAAAACTCTCATATTTTCAAGTTGTACAGAAGAATTTGCTAGATGCTCGGTCGCTCCAGAATCTAAAAACCACTTCAACGCTTGAGAGTCCTCCCGTGTCGATGCCGAGAAACAAAATTCACAATCTTCGTCCTTTGTTACTTGCTCTTCCTTTTCAGTTGTGACATTGGCCAAATAATTCATTTTTCCGGTTAATGGAAGTCTTGTCCGACATTGTGCCCTATAATGCCCAGGTTTTCCACATCTATAGCATGTAATATTTCCTTGAAC